AATAAATTGTGCTCGAAACGTCATCAGTAAACATTACTGTATAACACTATGAGACTATCAAAAAAAAATTTACCCACAATGGAATTACACTCTACCACAGTGCACAAGTTTTATTCTTATATCTATGTATCAAGCAATAAAACCTTGTGACAACAACCGGAAGGTCCTGGGTTCGAATCCCTGTGATTGCGTACCGATGAAGAGTCCCAAACTATGACGAAACGCCTGCCCAGTACTCCTTGGTTCTCTAAATGATGATACATCGTGATCCAATCTGTAACCAGTCAAATGGCCTGCAAACCAAATTTGAATTTTTTTTTTAATTCTAGATCTTAAGGTTTACTTGAGACTGAATTGCCCACTGGTTGAAATACAATGAAAATGAGAAAAAAAATTCCCTCTACGAATCAAAGATATAAGTGAAGCTCATTAAAATAAAGATATACATCCTTAGCGGAGTACTAGAATACACGCATGGTTGTAGACACCCTATTGCTGAACTGATTCATCAATCAACTGAAAATAAGAATTAACATTATAAACGGATTTTGAATCGCACCTACACATACTACTGCTACAGCTACTACCACGACTACAGGAACTCCTTCAAAATACAACTCATCATTAAGTGATCATCTTTTTCTTCATTCTTTGAGTTCTGAATGAAACATAGGACTTCAGGTCTGAGGCCTTGAAGTTTCAGTAGGCATGGTGTTGATTTTACAAAGTGGGGTTGGTTAGCCTCACGCCGCCCAACACCCTCCCTCCACCCTCTTTGGAAGGCTTAATATCAGCTAGGTAAAGTTTAGGAATGGATCGACTGGGGATCTAACCCCAAACCACTTGTGCATGGTTGGCAAGCATTCTACCTACTGAATCACCGATACAAGTCACCATCTATGCAAAACAAATTGTTTACATATTCACATGAAATGAAAACATCCATAAAAAGGCCGAGTATCCTTTACACACCCTATGAAATAATGTAAATTTTTTCATCAGGTATAATTTACTCTTGTGACGGGCTAGAAAAAATAGCATGCTTTCACTTCGACTGCATGCATCATAACCACCGTTGTAGACAAATGCATTGACCAATTTTAGCTAAATGATACTACCTGCTGGACAAGATTTCCTAACCAGTAGTACTCGTAAAGAATCTACTGAAAACAACCAATTGATTAGAAGAAGAAGAATCCTTCTCTATAATATACCGGGTGCCTAACAAATTACCAAAATCGTCGAAGCACCGCATGCTCCAAACAGCAGAGGCTATTGCGATTCGCCTCAAACAATCAGTGCTCTGTGTTCAGAAGAAACAAGTCCAGCCCCTACTACTGCCCTGGCCCTCAGTAGAAACTATAAACTCATGAATTTGCACTACTATCTTTCCTAATTCCTCTGACATTCAGCTTATTTTATGTTGATGCTGTTCAGCTGTAATCTATCAATTTTACTGATTTGATGTTATTTAAACATTAAAGTCGTTCATAAGACTAATTCATTCATTCATTATAATGTATATATAATTGTAGAGCCTGATGATGAATTTATCGAAAATAGTACTCTTTGTTCCGTGTCCAATCCTTTGAAGATTTTATATACATAATTTGTCTATACTACTGTTTAAACATAAAAATTGAAATTGCGCACGACGATTAAAATTACTCACTAGAAATCATTTTTTTAAAGAATTTAAACTTGAATAAGTGTCTCAAGCTAAAATACTTTAAGTAGTAAATACGTTAATTTAAGTAACTTCTTAGAACTCTTTAAAGCGACATGTTAAAAGTGATCAGAATAAACATTTGATATAATTGTGTTAATTGGAATCACAGCTCAAGTGTACGAATTATTGAACAAGGTAATAATAATAATAATAATAAAATCATGTGTGTGCTTATATAATAGTCGAAACTGCTAGTCACTATTGGTGTTTAAGCATATGTGTAAGAATATGGAGAGATATAGTGATTAAAAAAGACAGTATTTGATTTTAGAATAAATTGTGAAATTAAGAATAAATAAAATAACCACTTCTAACTGAATATAATAATAACTATAGAGATAACGTTTACAATTATCCAGTGTGACTGAAAGGAAGAATTATTCTGGTTGTATGTGGATTGTGTGAAGATGAAGTCTATGAGAAAGGGGAAGTGACTGAACAAATCTTTTCTTTAACAAGGTTGACAAATTCTGATGTCAACTATCTTGGTTCTAGTAGTTACACCAGTTGGAAGCATCTAGAACTAAAGAAATGACCTGGTGCCTTGTAATCGAATGCGAAGAGCTGAACTAGTGTCAACCTAGTCTTGAGTATCCAGTATAAGACGACTTTTGGAAGATTTTAACATTTCGTTTCCTAGTCACAATGAATAGTGTGGGTCAGTGAAATGATATTAGCCCTACAGAGTCGTTCTATCTATGATGCGACAACACGGTAATGATCAAATTCCATTTGAATTCAAGACGAATAAGTGACCTGAATGATGTGTAGCGATTGAATTATGACTTCTTACGAGAAAAGAATGCTCGGCTAAGTGCTACCTACCACCATCTAACTTCCTTATTATTATTATTGTTCCCTTGGGTTCCTAGTGGAACATAGGGCTTCAACTACACGTCTCCACTTGTTTCTGTCTTCTGCTGTACTTTTCACCTGCATCCATGTTAGTCCATACTGTTTCATCTCCTCCTCACACGATCTCCTCCATGTCACCCTTGGACGTCCCACTCGCCGCTTCCCTTTCGGGTTCCACTCGAGCAATGGCCTGACGCGCGATGTCACCCAGCGGCCTCCTCAGCGAGTGTCCAATCCATCTCCACTTTCTCCTGCATATTTGTTGGGCGACTGGTTCCTGTTTTGTTTGTTCCCATAGCTTCTTGTTTGTGATTCTTTCCGGCCATCTAATCTTCAGTATAGAGCGAAGACAGTTGTTGATAAAGGTCTGCAACAGGCTGTTGGAAATATTCTTTGTGACACACTGGCCAAGTTTCTGATCCGTATAGAAGAACTGACTGACTTGACGTTTGTATTGAAAATCCGAATTTTGTTGTTGATGCAGGCTGAGTGACGAAGATTTCCAGATTGGTTTCAGGTTGATGAATGTGTTTCTCGCCTTCCCGATTCTCGATTTGACATCGTCGTCCGTTCCTCCTGTAGTTGAGACAATGCTCCCTAGATAAGTGAATGAAGTAACCTCTTTCAAATCCCTCCCGTTGATGGTGATTGGCGCTGGATGTTTCTGTTGTTGTTGTTGGTTGGTTGGTTATTTTCATAACCTCCGTCTTGTCTATGTTCACCTGGAGTCCTGTCTTTGCTGCTTCTTCGACCAGTTTGTCGGTTTTCGCTTGTAAGTCTTCGATTTTGTGTGACATCAAACATAAGTCATCCGCGAAATCCTTAATAGCAGAATATCAAGAGGTAATGGACGGTAATATGTGTACATAATTTGTGATTGAGTCACATTAAACATTTCTAGAAGGACCTCAGCTTTCCTGTTATTACGGAATCAGATAGAACGACTGTGTGTCTGTTGAAACTTTTGGTGGCTTTAATTTCTAATTATGTCATAAACGCGTAGGTAAAAAGTGTGCCCACAGGGAAAACATTACTACATCTCGGGATTTCATCATGAACTAACATTGATTAGAGGACAAATGGAAAGCCTGGAAGTACTGGACAACTCTTTCGTCCTAGCTTTGGACTCTTCATCAGTACGCACCCACTGAGGTACAAACCCCAGGACCTTCTGGTTACAAGTTGAGCTCGTAGTCCATTAAGCCACTGGGACCCGGTCCAATGGCCTATGAATTCCAACTTCTGCCAATTCATGATATGGCTCAACCACTAGCGACAGTCATAGGCGAGTATTTGTCCCCTGGTGGGAGGTTGTGACCTGTGGGGTATAGCAGGTCGGGTGTGAGGAAAAATACTCGCCGATGGCATTCGCTGGTAGTCGCACCGTATCATGAATTTGCAGAAGTTGGAATTCATTGACCATTGGGTTGGGTCCCAGTGGCTCAGTGGTCTACAAGCTCGCCTTGTAACCGGAAGGTTCTGGATTCAGACCCAGGCGGGTGCGTATTGCCAGAGAGTCCCGAACTAGGGCGAAACAGCTGTCCAGCACTCCCCGTCGGTCTTCCAATGGTCCTCTAACCGACGTCAGTTCATGATGAAATCCTAAAACCAATTAAATCCCTGGAAACCAACACTGGAGTTCCTGCATCTACTTAACGACAAATTTCGCTGTTGAGCTAGAAATAAACATTCATCGTACATCGTATACTTGAAATTTAATTCTATTAACCACAATGGTAACAAACATCTATGTTGAATCATTATAATGCGTAAATTTGAAATCTGATAAGTGATTATCAAAGACACGTATCTGCTTAAATTGTGTTCTCTATTTATCATAATGGAGATACTTAAAATAATTCATTTGAAATGCATTTGCAAAATAAAAGTAAGGTGAGAGCTGGCTGCTAGCCAAAGTTGGTAGACAGTAATTGACGTCAATGTTTATGTCCCCAATATTGGTGGTGAGAAAATGAGAACAAAGGCTTTGCGTAGGCGGATACAGTTAGCATATAGATGATCTGAGATGCAAGGTTAACTTTCTGTGAGAAACAACCAATCAAAAGACTGTATTTTCTACTAACAATAATCTAAAATAATGTATATTAAAATTTATAAATATGTGTTGATTTTCCTTAATAAAGGATCTGTTGCCTGGCCCTTTCCTTCTGTTGTTACAAAAGTATTAGAGCACTGTATAAGCAGATGCGTCGGTGGCACAGTGGTTAGGACTCTCGCCAACCATGCAAATGGTCCTGGGTTCGATCCCCTACCGACGCACACCCGATATCTATGGTCGGCCTGCAAAATTTGGGCTACCGAAATCCATGCTGAAAATTCCATACTTGTACTGAAAATACGGTGTGGCATCAAGCTGTAGTCAAAATATAAAATATAATGTTCACAACGCACTTACCTACGGACATCCCAGTACATATTGTCAAATAAGAAACTTTTTGTGCACCGGCATATTTAAATATTTGATCCTTACACACATACATAATGTAGGCGGATAAAGTTATTGGAATAACTGAACTGACTACACGACAACTTGGACAATTTTCACCGATTGCAGTTGATTCATGCACAGAAGACGTATGATGATGATGGTCATCAGCATTATTTTGGGTACTTGGTGTATTCATGATTAATTATGATTCTGAAATTTTTTAAGAAAAAGAAGATCAACATGGGCATTGAGATATACAGGTTAAACATTTCACTTACATTTATTATCTAAGAGAAGAAAACCTACACACTAACTGTGAGAATTTAGGATGCTTAAAATGAATTCATTTGAACATAGAGTCAAAGTGTTGACTATTTGAACTCGAAGACCTGGGTCTTTAATGCATCAGACTAGTAGCTATACATGTCGTTTGCGTGCTAATGATATTACCTAGTTGCTCAGACTGAAGTAAGCAAAGCAGAATTCAAACCCAGGACCTACCGGATGAAAGCTAAGGGCTTAAGTCATAAAGCAACATCTCTACTAAAGTACTGACTACAATGATAGTATCATATTACAATGATAAAAGCATCACTGATCGAATATTATATCACCAAAGTGCATTAAATGACCAAATCAGATAAAAGACATTGCAGTCCACATTATCAAGCGACAGATCACATTAAAAGAGATAAAATGACGAGAACATTTTTGAAAGTGTTAAACCATTTTGATAAAGTTCAGGTGAGGCCAATAAAAGCTGATACAATTTTCAAGTGTCAGAGGTTTTATTTACTGAACACTGAAGTTTTTAATTAAATTAGCTGAATATCGTGTTTTAACAAGGCAAGTGTATACGAAATGCTCATCGGACAATGTTGAAGAACCAGGGAGTACTGGACAGCTGCTGTTTCATCCTAGTTTGGGAATCATCGGCAGTACGCACCCACTGGGATTCGAACCCAGGACCTGGATGGATGTCCCACCAACGACAATGGTTGGTCGCGCTAAATCACGAATTGGTAGAAGTTAGAATTCATGAGCCCATGAATCAGGTCCCAGTGGCTGAATGGTATACGAGCTTGCCTTGTTACCGGAAGGTCCTGGGTTCGAACCCTGGCGGTGGGTGCGTACTGCCGATGATTCCCAAGCTAGAATGAAACAGCTGCTCAGTACTCCCTGGTTTTCAATGGTTCTCTAACTGATATCAGTCCGTGATCAACTCGTAAAACATGACTAACCCTTACAAACCAAACTATAGAAAATGTTGAAAAAGCCTATATATACGCGATTTTGAACTGACTGATTACATGAGAATTAATATTCGACTATAACAGAGTGAATTTATTTGATAAAATCGCACAGTGTTATATAGTATTATTTACTGATAACCTTTCGATCACAATTTACTGCTCATAATGATATCAATGTAGTCACACAACTTGATTAGAATGTGCTTCCAGAACATGACACTATAACCAAGTGATCACTTGAAGTTATATTCCGCAATGAGAGGAACAAAAAAGTCAGACGTCCAGAACGACGACAACAACAACCTTTATTAGAAGAAATACATGGTATACTATACTATACCAAACCCTCAGAAATTTAAGCCAAAAATACAACAAATTAAAAATGTCCAATAAAGTTATCACATCAGGACATGCATAAATCTCGATCTCATGGCTAACAAAGAAGCTTGCCCGTCCTAACAGATTTTTGGAAAGTAACAGGGCTTATCACTAGTATGAAATAAATCTACGCGTGTATTTATTATATACCAAAATTACACAAAAGAGTACTGTTCAGTATTGTCTGATTTCCAGTGGTTGTACAATTGACGTAGTTTTGTAACTGAGATCACCCCAAAATAGAATACAAGTAAAACAGGAAAAACAAAAGTATGCCTTATCCACCTGTGTTTATGAAGAACTGATTGGTTTTAAGGCACATGTTATAGAGGTTATAAGCCCATTGTAGGCGGCGAGAAACAGATTACAGCTTCAATATCTGTAGCTCTAAAATTGTATAGTCGTATTTCAACAGTTGTTAATATTGGAAATATCTCGAACAAAACTAATGCCTGTTGTCATTATCAACTGTTGAAAATGTTTTGAGACCTATTTTTAAACTAAGTAGTAGAAATGTGTATAATTATGACAAACAAAATAGAAGTGTTTTCATTTTGGCACAGACGTGAACATTTGTGCATGCTAAGAATTGTATAGCTTGTCATATGACATAATTAAATGTCTATACATATATATAACGTTGTACTCTTTACTCTATGTGTTTCTCTTAGGAGAAAATTGGGGACGATTGATTTTCTGACAATAAATAAAAACGGTGAGGTATGAATTCACTAACTAACAGTGTAAAAGAACATTCTAAAATACATTTGTACTTTGATTGTATATTAGGTAATAACTAATGTCATGCGTCTAGCGCTTCGTTTCGGTGCTGACTAAATTCTGTCAGTCAAGTTTACACCAAAACGAAAGATTATGTGCATGATACTAGTCACTACCTAGTGTCCATTACAGCCCTACAGCAGGTCAATCGCAAGCCCGAATAGCTCCTCGGTGGTAACATCTCTAGCTGCAGCAGTGGATGACACAGGCTTGAATCCCAGAAGGGACATAAGTTCCTTCAAGATTCCAGATACACTTTGCTGACGAGTGGTAACAAGCACGAAACCTAGGTGTCCAAGGCTTCCAAATAATAGTAAATACACTCTTATGCATAGGCTTTACATTTAATCGTGAAATAATTTATCGAGCGTTTCCATGGTGTCTTGACTTCTTTAATCCTGAAAGAAATGAACATTTGATGATATTAGATGGTTGGAGGCAATCGGCCACAGGAAGCCTTGGACCTAGGTTTCGTGCTAGCTGGCACTCACTGGTCAGCAAGGCGTATCTGCAACCTTGAAGGAACTCATGTCCCTTTTGAGATTCAAACCCGCGTCACCCAGTGCTGCAGTCAGAGACGTTACCACTGAGCTATTCGGACTCACGATTGACCTCCTGTAGAACTGTAGTGGATACTTTGATTGGACACTAGTAACTAGTGTGATGTGTTTAGTCCTTTCTTTGGTGCAGACTGAATTCTATCAGTCAGGTTTGCAATGTGGCCATCACGGTGTACATTGATTTGACGATATTAGATGGTAAAGTCTCTGACTGCAGCACTGGGTGACGCGGGTTCGAATCTCAGAAGGGACATGAGTTCCTTCAAGGTTGCAGATACGCCTTGCTGACCAGTGAGTGACAGCTAGCATGAAACCTAGGTCTAGGGCTTCATGTGGTCGATTGTCTCCAACCACCTAATATCGTCAAATCAATGTACACCGTGACGGCGAGCTACCTAGAATGGTGGCCAGATTGCAAACCTGACTGATAGAATTCAGTCTGCACCAAAGAAAGGACTAAACACATTACACTAGTTACTAGTGTCCAATCAAAGTAACGAACATTATCCTCTAAAAAATCCCTAATCTCAATAATACTACGAACATCACGAAATTTACTGATGAACTTTAGATTAATGGTGGCTAGCAGCAGAATCCAAGATGCGTTTGAAATGATGGGTTCGAGTCTCAGTGGGAACATCATCATACACTTGGGATTGCAGGTACATCCAGATGACGAGTACAAAGACAGGACGATATACGCAATCCGTATTCCACTGATAGTCACCGTCGAACAAAATAATCATTTAACATCGTCGAAGCGTTCGTACTATGAACCAGCATGTCGACCAATATCGAGAGTTTCAGTCCAACATAATCAATCAACGAGAGATGCTAATTAACCTACAAATCCTAATGAACTTTAATTGTAATATTTTATTGTAGAATATATTAATGACCTTAATTTATAAACATGTGCTAAAAGTGCTTATTGTGGAAAGACGAGGGAATAGAGTACATTATTTTACTTAAAGCCTTCTCTACTGGAAAAATTATGGAGAGTTGGTGATCTAGGTGATATAAATTCATTTAATTTATCCTGGTATAATCTCTTTATATCTATTTGTTGTTCTTTTTTTTTCCTTCACGTTCCCCAGTGGAACATAGGGCTTCAAGCTAGTGGCTTGAAGTTTCTTTAGCAGTGTTTATTTTACGGGATGGGGTTGCCAGCCTCATGCCCAACCTTTCCTCTTCACCAGCATTATTTCTGGCTTAGCGAGGTAAAGGAGTGCGTCGGCCGGGGATCAAACCCCGCGCCATGTGCATGGTCGGCGAGCGTCCTAACCGCTATGCCACCGACGCACTTTGTTGTTCTTACAATCGCGTTATTGTAATTTTCCATCTATTCCAGATTCTTGGTTGACTAAATTTTGAAAAGAACAAAGTAAACCCTTTAATCTACATGAAATTAAAACACAAAGGTATACCAACCGATAATCTACAGCAATATTTAGGGTGTGTTTCTTTTAAATACTAAATATTAACATACTTAAAGTAACATGCGGTATTGAAGTTACACGAAGTTTTGATGCATGTCTGCCTTATTAGTGAATACATAAATAATGACTGTTGGAGTTTGTTGTTACGGCTGCTATTGATACTAGTGACATCATATCTGGTATCAGTGATCAATAGCTTAGACATTCCACTTTAAATCACGACGACCACCTGTATTGTCATTCATAGAAATACAGGTGCAGAAAATCCATTGTATCTTATTTGAGTCTGAGCTTCATCAAGAACTATACACCTTGGAAAGATACTTGGACTTTTCAATTGGTGAGATCCCTACAAAACTCACTAATGTCTTTCTAATTCCAGTAAGTCAGTGAACACCGTGCACTGCAACATTTTATCTCGTTATCTACCTATTTTATTTTCATTCGCTTTGATGATATTCAAGCGGCAAGGGAGGTTAAATTAGTATATGTTAGACGCGGTAATATAATAACTGAACATTTAGCTGAACTAGACATTATTCTAAAAATACTTACCCCAAAAATAATCATATCTGAAGACTTTAAATCTGATTTAATTCATATAAAAAGGAAGAACTGTTATTCTTGAAAAAAATTAAAATTAACTTGGTTTTTCACTGATTCCTTTGATTTTAGATTTGCCGAAATCTTATTAACTTTCATATGAGCAATAGAGTAAGCCTTTATAACCTATTGAATGGTAGATGGTTGAGGCGTTCTTCATAGCCTCCTCTCTAACAAAGGACACTGCCCCACTGATACAGTAATAAGCAGGCAAATCAATATCTTACTCTGGACAGAGTCGTGTCGGTTTAAGTTGTAACACGTCTTGTCGGTAAACATGAAGAGATAACAGATACAAAAGTGATACAACAATAAACCAATATGGTTGAGAGAGGAAAGGTTATAATTACACTAATGAATGATTTTCAGAATTTTGAAAATGACAAAGAACTATACTATTGTAAACAATTTGCAGATATATGGCAAAGAGTCTGCACAGATTCTTAGCATACCGAAGACATTAACAATGCAGGTTATCCGTTCCTGTTTGAAACAGGCAAACAGTCAATGACTTTATGGATTGATTCGTGGAGCTGTGACTACGTGGTTTCGGCGCTCTGTTCCAAACCACCGGGTCACGCAACTGAACCCCACTCCAACTACCGAGGAGTTGGCAGCCGGGTTGTACTATTAGCTCACACACAATAAGAGTAACTTATTGCCAGTTGTGTGTAACTGCAAGTGGCTGAGTGTTGTCAAGTTTTGGAGTGACTCTTCTTTATTCCTTTATGAGCGTATTACTACTTCAGCTGGCATAACTTTATCAAGAAGACAACGGAGTTGGATGAGCAACATATTTTGTAAACACCTCAAATCCAAGGAGATTTACTACATCTTCAGTTAACTTATCTCCTATACCTAGCAGACAACGTTAGCTTTCAATAATAACTAAACTTTAGTCCCATCTCATGTGAACGATGGTATGATAAAATTTATACTCAAAACTCTGTAACAATTACTAAAAACATGACGCAAGGCTACCCACATTTGCAGTCATCAAATGAGATGTCTGCCTGAGTATGAATGCAATGATGATTAGAAACCAAAGACTGTTAGAAGTAAACTGCATCGAAAGTTTACTATTCGTTTCTTTATTAGCCACTGAGCTTTCCACGCTGTGTAACTTAGTATAATCGTTTGATCAGAGGAGCTAAGACGACAGTTTTCAGTAACTCTAAGTTGTGTTTAGTAGTTGCGTAAACTGTGTACGAATAAGCATCAATTAAGAACACTGACAAACCGATTCCTTTCAAAACACAAGATTAAATGCACACTTCAAAAAATAGTGTTAAAAACTCTAACTGGTGCTATGTTCTTTATATGCTGAAACCGAAAAACAAAATAAAGCATAACGTCTACATACTTATTCCTGATATAAGTCACACTATACACTACTGCTTTACCTCAACGATAAAAAATTATATACAAAGGTGAAAAATCGTAACAAATGCGTCTGATAAATTGAAACACATAGCTGTACAGTGATGCGTTCACTTCGTAACGTGATGATACTCGGTTGATGTAGTTATAGATTTGAAATATCGAAGAGCCGTAAACTAGGACGAGATAGCTGTTCAGTGCTCTTAAGTTCTGTAGCTGAAAAAGAATCGAGGCACTTACTTCAAAAACTAGCAATTATTAATCTTTATATATATATATATATATATATATATATATATATATAAACACATGTAAGCTAACAATATTGTCTTTAATTAGATTTCATCAGGCTCTAATTTATAAATAAATAAATTTATAAATAACTTAACGAATAAATATTATATATATAGTAATCATGGTGATTCATCAATAGGGTGATACGATTGTGCATGTGAATTGTGCAATTAGTCTTAATAATAATAGTAATAATTGTATTAATAGCAAAGATGAAAAAGTGGAGCGATTTATGATAACAAGAATGATGAAGAACAGCACGATGAAACAAATAAACGTTCAGGAGCTAAGGATGATTTCTGTCAGTCCTTTGCCAAACCACGATGGGAGATGTTCAATAACACCTTGGCTGACCTGTCTATTGGTACGCGCAAGATAACTGTCTACGCTGGAGCAGCTGAAATGATAAATACATAGAGATGTAGCAAAATTGTCTAGCTTATCCATTTGTTTGAGTCCTAATCATCCGTTGACTAGAAAATGACGAAAAAAGATTTGCTGTTAATTTCGTATAATTCTGACTAGTCTTTGGGAAATAGTCTCACTGGACAAATCCCGATTTAAATTGTAACTTAATAAATAATGGTTTCTTTCGTACTATCATAGTCTCAGGTTTTCTACCTAGTATTTTTATGTTTCTTTATGAAGCCACTCTTCGTTAAGAAATCATGAATATATTCGAATTCTTTTTGTAAGTAATCAGTCGTACATATCTTTCTTGCTCTATCCATAAGACACTTGACAGTATTTCTTTCATTTTTTTTTCCTTCACGTTCCCCAGTGGAACATAGGGCTTCAAGCTAGTGGCTTGAAGTTTCTGTAGCAGTGTTTACTTTACAGGATGGCGTAGCTAGCCTCATGCCCAACCTTTCCTCTTCACCAGCATTATTTCTGGCTTAGTGAGGTAAAGGAGTGCGTCGGTGACCGGGGATCGAACTCCGAACCATGTGCATGGTCGGCGAGCGTCCTAACCGCTATACCACCGACGCTCTTTCATATTTAATGGACAAATAATTAGCTATTATCAACTAGGTCTACCTAAACATTCATTTGTTTAATCATGCTGTTCTTGATTATTCTTGTAATCACAAATCGCTCCACTTCTTTCTCATCTTTGTTATTCATAGAATTATTATCATTATTTGCACAATCTTATCACCCACCCCTATTGACAAATCACCATTACTGGCTACAGAATTAAAAACAACTAAGGAGCACTGGACGGCTCTATATAATATCGTCATAGTTTGTGGCTCTTCAATAGTACAAATCTATGATGATTGTGTGAGCCTAGAATCCTCAAGTGTAGTATGGAGCAGATAATATCAATAAGTGTAAAATCAAATTTGAAGTAACTAACTACCATTCATTCTGTGAAAATAATATTAGTAATAATAATAACAATAAACCAGAAGAGAACACAGTCTATAAATTATGTAATAATTACAGTCAGTTAAGATAAAAATTATATATATGTATATTTATATACAAATTAACAAGATGGCGAAGGAATAAAAAGAAAGTATCATATTCTCTTATAGGCATCATTTCTAATTAAAACAGCAGTAAGTATTATTAGTAGTGGAAGTGTTTATTCGCAAATTATTTGAACAATGAAAAAAATGATGCAGGTAGGATCAGTGTGATAACTAGTTAGATGAAAAATGTGGAAAAGAATCGCCTTTTTCACTAGTCTACTACTTTATAAGAACAGCAACATCGTTGCTCCCCCCACCCGGGCCACCATAAATCACAATAATACTGTTACTTGGCTTTATTTTTTCCCCAGTTGGAAGGCGGCCAGGGAAGGGGGGGGGAACAACAACAATGTAAAAGCACGGGAACCATGCAGTGTTGACATGATTCCAAAGAAGCGGGAAAAAATAATAAAAAATGAAAATGGAAATATTTGCTGGTAAAATTTCATTCATGACAAATATTATTAATAAACACAAGGATAATAATAATAATATTTATGATGACGTTGATGAGATGATGACGACAATGCTGTGGGGGATAAAATAGTGTGTTGAAAAAAAAATTAGTAGTAGTAAAGAAAATGAAAAACAGAGAGATGGATTAATAAAGAGAGAGAAAATCAAATTGCTAAAACAATTACGCTGTCTTTCAGGCCATTAAAATATTATTAATCATAATTATGACGTATTATCAATTACTTTGGTAAATGAACACCATCGACGACAGTAACACACACTTGTGCACAAGAATGGATAAATGTTTTGGACAATTATATGTATATATATATTGTGTTCAGTGATTTGTTTTTATTGCAATATTATATATATAAATTAGGTCTTCATTATCAACAATTTTCGGTCAGAATCTCAGGGAAGTAACAAACTTTGGGGAATTTGATGGTGTGCCAGAGGAGGACATAGGAAACAAAGTAACCTTAACATCTGCATCTATCCTGATTTCCGGTTTCCTCAGCGCCAAGCCGAATACTGTCAGGGTAATCAGAGTGAAGATTTGTCTACAACAGAAAACAGATATGATAAGCGATATTAATTATTATGCCACAACAGACAAGATTATAAAGTTTATTAGATCACGCTAAGAACATAAATTAGCTGGTTATATTTTTGTCTAAAAATGATCAAAACCTTGTTGAAAGAGTTCAGGGGGGCTAGCTAAATCAGAAATAGTTAACAGTACTTGGCATTATATTCAATCAGATTTGTCTATGTATTCAAATGTTGATTCAGTGGTAGAATGTTCACCAACCAGGCACCTGGTCTGGGGTGCGACTCCCAGCTGATGCACTCCTAAGTCTCGCCTACTTCACTAGCCAATAGTGAGCCCAGATAAAAAGGGAGGCTGGGAGTGAAGCTAGCAACCCCACCCTGTAGAAACAACACCATTGCTACTGAAACTGTAGGCCTGAAGCCTGAGAATGAATGAAAAAAAAACTTGACTTGGGTTACGAACTAATTGTATTCTTATTTTTGGAAGAAATTAGTACAAAGTATAGATAGATAAGCGCTTCACTTAGCCACCTTCTGCATTTGATGGAATTCAATATAACTACTTTGTTGGTACGATATGTTAAGTATACCGATCTTCAGAAACAGTTCATATCGATTATCTGATAGAATTATTCTCATCAACTAGACTATTTTTAAAGCCAATATCTAACAATAGTCTCTCTTGAATAACTTTAAGATTGATTTATCTAAAATGTTATATTGACCAGTTTTGCTTTATGAGTGAGAACATGATATACAAACTGTTTCCCTCCCATATTCTTTATCTTCCAGTTAAAGACATGCTATATGTCATCCAACTTGTCACACTTTTGGCTGTCTTTACTCTTTTTATTATTCTATAGATAATAAATATTGAGAAAAATTTATCGCTTAGTATATTCTACACATAGTTCAACTTTTACTTTTACAATCTATTTATTCCTGTATTTATGTCAAACAAACATTGTTCTAAGGTTTATCCGTCTTTTGAGCTTTTAAGGAAAGATTGCATTCTGCAGTATATTCAAGGTAGTCAGACATTATGATGCACTTTTAATTCTACTTAGTGGACACGGAGTGTGAATAAACATCTTGTTGCATGCAGGTAAACAGCTGTAGTAATTTTATTACACACCAAGCACTTTTTTTCATGCACAGTCTACTGTGACTCTATAACAATGATAATAATACGGTTTGTATTCATACACGCAAGATACAATAACCAGAGCATACATTGATCGGCTTTATAAAGTAATGAAGGTATCCAGTTAGATGAAGAGAAATCCACAATGAAGTATCAGAGCTCAGTGAATACTAAACAATTCGTATCTTCATCATCCTGAGGTGTAAATAGCTTTTGCTAAAATAAAATATACCCTGATCAAATCTAACGCTATGTGAACACAGAAATGTTAGCTAACATGCACATTAATTTTGTGACAGCGTATATACTACTGTTATCCACATATTGTTTGTATTAGGATATATGTAAATTATTATTATCGACCGAAAACTGGACTTGCATATTGCAATGACCCAAAGGGCTACACTGGCTGAAACGAATGCTTCAGCAAGTCGTACCATGACGTAAAGGTCGATTGGACAGCGGTTAGACGGACAAGAAGCAGTTACCACCACAGTGTAAGTTGTTAGGAGTCTACGGGTGAAGTCGCACTGTTGGTGAAGAGGGATATTCCCCTTAGATGAGCACCTAGCTATTCTTCCTGTTCTGGAGAGGAGGGTTGAAGAACACCAATTCCGAAAACTGTACATCCTGATTTACTTTGAGGCGGTGGTAAGATACTACTAGATACTACTCTAGAAACCAGTGTAAACAGCTAAATTACTACTATAATTACCGCTAATAGTGTGCTACAAGTAACCGTGAATTAGATATTTTAACAATATTCCAAGCTAACGATTCTGCACAGCATGAAGAAATATTAACCATAATATATTTGTCATTATTATTATTAATATTATTATTATATCGAAAAGTGAGGGCTGTTTCATTAATGAACAAGTACGCTTTATAACTTGAATAATCTCCAGTTGTTCTACACTTGGAGAGTTTTAGTAGTTGTACTTTTCTGATTGAGATTAACCATTAGGTGACAACTCCATGATATAGTGGGTTACTTGGACTATGTGGTTACAAACTATTTCGACAAATCGACTGTGCTAATTTCACTGATTAAACGTGCTGATGTGGAGTTGAGATTGGCATTCAATTTCCTTGGCCTAAGGTGATACTGTATGTTATAAAACTTTCATTTTATGCTGTATACCTCTGTTAAACTAATTTTTCGATTAAAATGACAATGACCGAAACGTATGCGAATGAGGTACTGATTCAGATATTTGACTGACAAAGAAAGCATTTTCAGAAGAAGGGTAGGTAAACCTCATTGACGAGCATTAGATGCTTGAAAACCTGTCTAAACAATAAATCTGGAATAAATGGCGATACGGGGATTGCCTAACATGTAAGCAGTCATACACTTACTGATGGACAAGCATTGGTCAAGCAGCAACGGATAGCGTATTATTAAGATTATAAATACTGATTTGAAAACTACTTATCTAGAGCATTGTCTCACTACAAGGAATGGAGACGATGTCAAATCGAGAATCGGGAAGGCAAGAAACACATTCATCAACCTGAAACCAATCTGGATATCTTCGTCACTCAACTCAGCATCAACAACAAAATTCGGATTTTCAATACAAACGTCAAGTCAGTCAGTTCTTCTATACGGATCAGAAAGTTGGCGGGTCACCAAGAATATTTCCAACAGGTTGTAGACCTTTATCAACAACTGTCTTCACTCTACACTGAAGATCAGATGGCCGGAAAGAATCACCAACGAGAAACTATGGAAACGAACAAAACAAGAACTAATCGCCCAACAAATATGCAGGAGAAAGTGGAGATGGATTGGACACTCGCTGAGGAGGCCGCTGGGTGACATCGCACGTCAGGCCAGTGCTCGAGTGGAACCCGAAAGGGAAGCGGCGAGTGGGACGTCCAAGGGTGACATGGAGGAGATCGTGTGAAGAGGAGTTGAAACAGTATGGACTAACATGGATGCAGGTGAAAAGTACAACAGAAGAAGAAATTTGCTATGTATAAAGAATAATAATAAATACTGATGACCAGTGCATGTGCTTCACAATTTTTAAAGCAGACAGAACCTTAACTCATTGCAACTAGCTGAATTAATGTCTTGTCATACTTTACCTGAAAAAAAGCTTAAATAGAATCGAATTTTGTAAGCGCTTGTTAGGCAGGCTAACAAAAACCAGGGCAAGCAACCGGCAACACTAAGATCAATAAAATATACCAAATTTTAAAGTATATGACGTACATGTAACATGTATTGTGAAAACTCTGGATTAATAGCATTTCATTTGTTATGAAAATGCATCTGTCGAATACAGATGATCATTTTTTTTTCAAACAAACATTAAATTCCACTTATGAAATAATTATTTTTTACACAAGCTCATTAACAATTATTTACAATGTATCTATGCATGTATGTGTGTGTGAACTGGTTATTTCATCGTTGCGTTCACAAAAACAAAGTTTCAGTCAACTAATTTAGCTATAGAGTCACTGGTATTTATTGATAGATGCATGAATATGAATAAATGCATTCGATCAATACTGTTCTCCCCGCTTAACATGCATACGAAAAGTTGACAGATATCGAAAGTGACTGATGCGTGAATGAAAATGTATACAGATCTTAAGTGTAGAGTTCACTGAATTTAGTAAATATCAAAAACAGAGAACAGGACTTAGCATATAGGCCAGTGCATCGATTCGGCTAATATTTATACAGAAACAGGTGACTAGTAAAATTCATAATTTGCGATTCACATCAACCAGTAGTGCTTGCTAGTCAGCCAGATCGAAATGATCTTAACACTACACCGCCCTTTTCGCTCGCTTGGGGCCGAGTTCATCAACGATGTACTCTGTTTGACTCAGCCCAGAGAGCTGAATCATTTCAAAACACCTGATTTCTGGTTAGCTACTTGGGGGGGAACTGAATCGAATCTGTAGTTTACACAGTTCGGGGTGGTTTGAACTGATTCGGCTCTTTGAGCTGAGTCAGTCAAAGCTACTACACCACCAGTGAGCTCGGCCCCAAAAGAGCGAAACGGCCGTCTAGTGTTTAAATTACTTCAATCTAACTGGTTAGCGAGCACTACTCGTTGAGCGGTATCAATTACTTATCTCAATCAATCAGTAGTACATAGTCTCATGAATTTACGTTTGGTTTCTCGATTACCATTTATAGTATCAAGCAGCTCATATATTGTGATCCGAATAATTTCAGTTTCCAAAGGAAGCTGTGGTGAAATAACCCCTTAGAAGTGTGTAAATTACGAATTAATTTGCAAAGCTGCGAACTAATTTGAGAATCTGATTCAACTGGTAAAATCTTTAGGTGACAAATTATTCATCTAAGATATTTGAAGATGTGTTATCCTGGTGTGCTTAAAAGACATTATACATCGATTGTTTATTTCAGCCACGCAGTTGTTACCTAACCTCTTTTAGAAGCTTTTGGTTGTTATTCTGAAACTTAAAACTTTGACAACATTCTTTTCGCATTAGAAATATGCGGCCTACAGCTTGAGAATGATATTGCCGAAAAGAATAACTCTTCGTTGAGTGTTTCTTATTATTAAATAATTATTCGCATACTGTTTGTCATTTGCTAGTATTAAATAGAATCAAGTAAAGTTGAACAACAAGCTAAACTTTGTGAATAAATTGCAATGATCATTGTGTAGTTACTACATCAAGTGATTTACTTTTGGACGTCCATTATCATTCCTAAACTCCATAAAGCGTTTGTCACGAATGGCTTTTAGTGAATAGGTATACAGTGGAGTGTACACCGTGATTGGTGAGGATAGTTGATCCAAATACCGTATATATTTAGGCATATTTGAAGTTTAACTGCATTTTAGTCTGTTTTAATGTGTAGTAAACTGAATGTATACTTAACGCAGAAAAGTTTACGATTGATTGCACCGATGAAAATCAATTTAGGCTTGATTATATACTTAAAACTGATTTCCAGAAAAGCTCACTGTATTTAACACAACTCTAGCACTCACGCATTATCAACCAACCATAGAAACAACCTTATCATTTGGACAACAGAAAGGTAAAACTATGAAAGTTTTGCTTACATTAAGATAATACTTTCTGTCTCTAACTTTCTTCCAGCACAGTTAGTAGAATGACCAAGCCTTCACAATTACAATACCTTCGTTCTACATTTTATTGAGTAATTATTTTAGGTCTTTCCACACATAGATCGCAAGAAATAAGAATCCCGACCGATGTAACTCTGATATATTATTACGATAGAAAAACCTATTCATTAGAAAATTGTAGGTGCCGCAAAATATCCATGCTGAAGGATCTATTCAGTGATGACAATGCAAACCGGTTAGTAGAAGTTTAGCCGAGAATTATTCATTGACAATAATACTAAAATGATGTTCTAATAGAACAACAAAACTCACCGCGGATTCTTCATCTATGGCAACTCTAATAATGTGTTCAAAGGCCAGTTCAACATTGGTATTTTCTTTAGCACTGCATTCAAAATATGGAAGGTTCCCGTTAGCTTGACACCATTGTCTAGCACGATTTTCAGATATCTGTATAAAGCAGATAGAAGTTACTGTTATCATGAAAAACAGGAAGAGTGATGACTCAACTATCTTTAATTACAAAGATAAATATGGCAGAGAAATAACCTAGCCTATACCAGTCAACTTACCCTAGAAATCTTCGCCCCAATTCAAAACATCAAACAGATCTAGAAGCTTTCTACCATATTTCTTATTTAACTATCTAGAATCTTCATTAGAATTCTGTTTTTACGTGGAAGGAGTCTTGAACAGCAGGTAAATAAGCGTAGAAGACAACTGTGTTCATTTAATCTATTGATCCACTTTTATTACTTATGATCCGACAGATACTATAGAATATGGCGTCACTGATGCCTTGAAAATTATGAAGCATATTTACTGTCCTGCTACAAATACCTTTCAAACTAGTAAATTAGATCAAGCGTGAACGACCTTTGGATTCGATTACTGTTCCTCTTATATTTTGTACTATAAAAGCCATGGGATGATAAAGAACCACACTGACCCTACTTGCAATAACCACCCTAGGGGTTACATCTCACGAGTTTCCAAGATGACCTATTGCTGGAATAACTAGAAATCAATAGCTGCTTATTATTTTTGACTGTGGTAGTTTAATAACATGATTACTACAGGAACTAATCTAATTACAAGGGTTACACATCTAGGTAACATCCATTTCTGCCGAAGGTTTAGCTATCCAGTCGACTCTTTTTATACATGATAGTGAGATATGTAAATAAATTAAAAATAAATGTTATCTGTAGCTAAATAATTATGATTGGCTGAGAAAACAGAAGACATTAAGTGAAGAGTAACACTCTTGGATGATCTTATTGTTAATTTGTATATAATGGCATATAAATATCACATTAACTTAAGGAAAATCAATAACAGTAGTGACTTGTTCAAAACCTAGATCCTGTATACAAGGGACTGTTTATTTATTGGATTTCCTGGAAATCTTTCTTCTTACACCGTTAGGATTAGGGTTATTTCTTTTTTCTTTATCATTACCACCTCTAACTAACCACTCAAACACATACTGTTGAAATGAACTAGACAGAGATGCTAGTTCTGTTGTGTGACAAAAGAGTTCATAATGTATAATATATTTGTTGTCAAGATCTCTTATTATTGTGAGAATACTGACTTAAGCAGTTAAACGAGGTTGACATATAACCAACAATTAGATTTAGTCACAAGTTGAACAAAAAGCACCAAAATGGCAATGTGTTTAAGACATACTTATAAAAATTGTGCACGGCACTTTGTGCTTTTACAACCATAAACTAGGTAAAAGTGTGAAGACTAATAATGTACTGAGGTTAATCAGAACTTAGTTACCCACATTAGAGTTTACATGAACTACTCTTATCATGTTGATACAAGGCAGCTGCCAAGCCAAGGCTGAAGTAGCTGACATTCTGAATTTATTTATTTAAGCACAACCTTCGTACAATATGGGCACAAAGAGAAACAAACGAACAAACCAGTTAATCCTGAGCATAAAATGTTATATGTGGAAAAAACATAACTTACAGCTCTATTGTCTAGGTCGCATTTATTTCCAATTACAATGAATGGGAATTTCTCAGGATTTCGAGGACTTGACTGAACCAAAAACTCATCTCTCCATGAATCCAACGTCTTGAAGGTATTTGTCATAGTAACATCATACACAAGAACGCAGCAGTCAGCGCCACGATAGAAAGCTACTCCCAGAGATTGAAATCTTTCTTGTCCAGCGGTATCCCAAATCTGCATTGTTACCAAACGATCATCGAAAACTTCTTGTTTTGTAAAGAAGTCTGCACCGATTGTGGCTTTATACTGATTACTGAACTTTTTGTCAATATACTGAGTTATTAAAGATGTCTTTCCAACTCTTAGGAAATTAGTATTAGTGTTTAATAAGCAACCTACCCACTGTCTCCGATAACGATAATTTTCAGAGAGATTTTCTTTTTGATAACCATGATCTACATTTATATGCAAGAAACTATGTGGATTAGTCTGTTGTTGTGTGATTTTTAGAAGAGTAAAATTTCATCACGTTAAAAATATGTATTTCCAACACAATGAACATACTAGGTTAGAGTAGCACTTTTTATAAGAGAGATGATAATCTAACCCTGAATGTGAGTCCACTTCGAACTCGAGACCCACCTGACTGAAAACTGTGCTCAGGTAGATAAGTGATGCCTATAACAATGCAGCTCGAGTTATGGCAATATCGGTCTTCATTGATTGTCTAAACTTTAACCTCTGCTTATACACTAGTACAATCTACAAATAACTTCGAACCTGGTCATTATTATATATTACTTGGATAGTTGACGACTACTTGCTTTCGTGTTCAATTGACCTCTCCGATTGGCCTGACAATGTAGAAGCACAGTTTCAATGTGCTGAAACTGACCTTCATCAACATGTCATCACAGAGACACATCCCTTAAAGTCATACGGGCTTCGCCACGTGAGATGAACAGGTACTTTACAGCACACATGTTAACTCAAGAATTCAGTTATCTCTAGGAGCTTCTTAAAGTAGTGGTCCTGAAGAAAAACAACCTGTCGAATCGTAAACAACTCAATGAACACTTTCGGAACTTCCAGTTAGTAAAATGTCCTGCGGTGGATACGCTTTCATGAATACAGGAAGTTATTATATAAACATAATTCACTTAGATCTCGAGTTGAACATGGGGATTCAACAGCAAAGAAAATCTGATGGTCTGTTTGGGCAACAGTCCTTGTCTAAATTAGCAGAGCTAGTGGGAACTGCGCTTATGGTGGTCTCAACTTCACTAATTCGGCAGACTGATTTGGCAGAATCCCCCAACAAACTGTAATTTAAGTATGTGTAAGACAAACAAGCGATGAATCTCAAGTAACAGAGTTGGGCAACTCCGTCGAACTACTCAAGCCAAAAAGTTCCGGAATCAGACTGAAAATCACCAATATTCACCTCAACCTAGCGAATCTCGTTCGAAAATAAAACGACAAGAGAGCGAAACTCCGGAATGCTTTTAGCGACACAACACCGGAAGAAACGACAGAAGTTTCAAAGGACCTTGAAGTTTGGCAGGAACACTAACATCTCGAGAAACTACCACACCAAAACGCCTTAGCGTAGCCGGGACAGTAGCTGCTCACACTACAAAACATGTTAGCAAGAGTTGATACCCCGTAGATATTCAAGCAAAAGAGAGCGGATCGAAATATCAGGAAAGAAGCAATCTTAAATCTATTCGTAGCAAATGGGAAACCGATTGCAAAGTCCAGAATAAAAATCAAGCTTACACAAAACTATTCAGCAGATATATAATATCCCTGATGACGTTACGATGCGTACCATAGCCAAAAATTTGCTAAACTACGAACCATTCGTAGCTACCTGTTGAAGATCAATACATAGTATCTAAAAGCTATCTCTTAAAAAAACTACCTAAGTCATTAAAGATGGGGACCCTAGTTGATCCTACATTCCAATCAATCTTGGACAAATTCCTAGAAATGAAATTGTATACAGAACGGCTCACTGTGCATGAGAAGCAGTTCTATACATCACACTTCATCCACACAACAACTTGAATTTTCCAAAGCTTGATGGTTGGCATCGGGTAAACCAGTAATGGCTGAGAATGAATTCAACCCTATGCTTATCCTCGGTATCATCCGACCGACGGGCAGCCCTTGGGATCCCCGACCCACATGGTGCCTAAAAATAGCGATGACTGGCAACTAAAGGGTAACTAAGCGCGTTTGGGTGGCAAAAATGTCTCAGATTGATACCCACTGTTGCATATCTATGGTTATGCAATGTTATCAGATGCAACTACTTTTGCGAGACTGACTTGGTGAACGCAAACAAACAAATTCCGATGTCACTAAAAGACGTCCTGAAAACGTATTATTACTGCTATCGGACTGTTCGGATTTCTGCAGACGCTATTTGGTTTTTGAAGTGCAGCGCAAACGTGCTAACGCTTCATCAACAACGTGTTTTGAAGACAACTTCAGACATTCATAACTAGGTAAGTCTCCTCACAAGAGCAGATAAGGAAATCCAGCTTCAATATTTGGATTTGGTTTCCAACAGTTTGTGACAACACGACATAACTATCCGTACTTATAAATACTGACTACAAGCAATACTGCTTGATTTCCTTGGGTATATCCTTTATCTACAAAAGCATACAAGACTGATTTATTAGGTGGTGCGTTAACCGGGACGATACCATTGAACAGACCTACGTTAAGGCTGAGAAAGCCACAGAGTAAACCATTCTTGGACATCTGTCAGTGCTTTTGACTCAGTGGCTGGTGAAACATTACAACTGGTTGACAGTGGCAACCACCCAACCCCTTCCTCGAAGTGTTGTTCAGTTGATATGATTATGAGCAATAGTTTGTGCTCGAAACATCATCAGTTAATATAACTGTACAACACTGTGTGATTTACCAAAATAAAATCTTATCCATAATGGAGTTATACTCTACCACAGTGCCCAAGTTTTATACCTTCCTCGAAGTATCTGCGAACCACGGAGTCCAAGCGTAGTAACTCCAGCAAGAAAACTTCGAGTTAATTGCCATGCTGTATGTTGTAACCCTTTCTTTGAAGCATATAACTAATCAAGATCGACTTCATAAGCAAAAAATCATGTTGTAGGACAACCGCTTATGGTATGATGCAATCGGATGTCTAGGCATATTATAGGGGTTGGCAAAGCAGTGAAAAAGGTGGTAGGATTATTCACTGTGACACTAATAGCCATATAACAGCCAACACAGGTTTCGGACGTTTGTATTCTACTACTGGGCTGGAATTATGTTAAAAAAACAGAGCAGTATTTGTAACTGCGTAGTACAAAACAAACACATCAGATAGACCCGATCAATAAAATCACATCAAATAAGATAAGTTAAAAAAGATAGTAGCGAAAAATCCCTTTCAATAATAACTAACAGCAACAAATAATACCCTTAAGGAACCCACTCGAAATAACCGCCGTAAGAAATCCGAGACCCAAATACAGCGCCTTTGTTCAATCGTTTCATTAGGGGTTACGATATTGCAGAAAACAAGTTTTTGCGTTTGTAAGACTAAAGCCATAAAAACAAAGTGAATCCTCGTGAATGCATGGAATACAGAAGCTTTGGGCCTGCGGCAATGGATAATTCCTTAAAATGATTTGCCTACAACATCGTGATTCTACTCTAGGTGCTGACCATTGCTATTTAAGCCGAACTGTTTAGATGGAGCTGCGCCCCCAGATCCCTACTCCGTTTTCACGCAACCACGTTTCATCAGGCCGTTCATGTATTGTTTCTAGCTGGCTGGGAATACATCCAAACGTAGCAGCACCAAATGCGAAATGTTTCGTAATTCCTAAGTTTCAGTTATTGTTCTGACTTGGTCTGATAACTGTTCAGATAATTTTATGTAGTTTGTGGATGGTATATACGTGCTTCAAGATCTTTCTCCACATGCCACCTTTAGAATTACTTGCCGCAGTATATATCTTGTCACAGTTATGTAGCATTTCACCTCAACTTCAAACAAGCAGGTAAGTGTGCGTAATTTTGTAGTAAATAACTATCTGGAGTTCGAAAGTGAGTTTTACCTAACGAGGTAAGCATATTCGTACACTTAATGATTTCTTCTAGCTACAAGTGTTCGGCATAACACCCTAAATGTCTGGCGTGCCGTAAGGCAATGCTCACGCATTCATGCATGATAGTGGAAGCCAATTAGATAAGAATAGTGATTCGCTGATGTTCGAAAATTTCAGTCAATCTGCACACACCTACACATAAGCACTGGTAATTGTTCAAACTGTATGGAATTCAACAACGTCGTTTCGAAGCCTATTTGACGAAACTGAGGTTAATACTAATACAAACAAACCATGATTTCAAATTCATACAGTGAAATAATAAATCCCATATTGAATATTTCATTAGATATATCACATAATGAAACAGTATTGTTTGCTGGGTGACATTTAGAACACAATTAATTGTCCATAATCATACCACCAATTATAATCACACAAACTCAAAACTTTCGTTTCATAGGTTTCTTTGTTCTTTCCTATTCGTTTTAAGGGTAGTAGAATTTTCCAGATGCCCTGGACAGGCACTAAGTCATTCCTATTGCACGTATTACACATGTCAAAATAATAGAACGGGTTCAGTCAGAATAGCACAGCAAAAAATCCTGGTAAAATCTAGATTGGTTGACCATAATAAGGTAGGAAATCTTGAGAATAGTTCAGCTATAGCACTGCATGTAATGACGCACAACTATGCAACAGGATGGGATAGGATGGCACAACATAAATGATTCAACACCTGTCCCGGGCATCTGGAAAATTCTACTACCCTTAAAACGAATAGGAAAGAACAAAGAAACCTATGAAACGAAAGTTTTGAGTTTGTGTGATTATAATTGGTGGTATGATTATGGACAATTAATTGTGTTCTAAATGTCACCCAGCAAACAATACTGTTTCGCTATGTGATATATCTGTCAAACAACATAATATGGAATTACATACTGCTACAGTGCCCAAGTTTTACACACACATGAAATAACATATTATATGGATTACTAATTGCCTTAGGACGCCATAGTTTTCCATTTAGTCGACAGCATGAACGCACAGTAACAAATAGTCCTGTGGTCCTGTAGCGGTAAATAATTCCTTAAAAATTATTAGTTTACAGGATAACTGACCTTTAAATCGACTTGTGAGTTTGAAGGTATGTGATCAAGTATCCTCATAATTCAACACTGTCGCGCTACTTTCGGTCATTCATACATACCTAGTTAAGCAATCATCATCTCTCTACGTTTCTGATGTGGAAATGTATCTTGTCTTTTGCACGATTAGCCTGTTGTTTTGATTTCTGTTTCTTCTTAGCTTCTTTCTTCTCCGAACTACTGCTGCTTTCACAGATACCTATGGGATACAGCGGCTAGAAAAAAATTGGTTCATAACTGCTTTTGTAGGGTCCAGTAAACTGTTACCTGCGTGTGCATTCCGCACGACTACGCTCGGCCAGCACTGCAGTTCTTAAGTAGACTATCTTTCTTTTCATGGGTGCAGTGTACAATACCTTAGTCAACTACAACTTTTCCAGCTGTGCAGTCCCATCAGAATCTCCCACCGTCTTCGTCAGTCATCCGCACCGCTGGACACCTGCACATAAAGACAACAACGTAAATTCACTAGTTCTTCAAGCTGTTACTGTTGCAGTAGGTTTAATACGACCGTGAGCCAGTGTGGACACCACCGCTTGTTTCAGCATATTAAATCCAGTTTGTATGAGTTGTCTATGTATTTACCCTGTGATGAATCGATAAGAATATTGGGAAACATAAACAGAAGGCCTACAAAAATACTCTTGGATTCTGGTGTACCAGTGTCCCTTGTTTAGGCTTCCGTCCACCACCGATCATCCCAATGCGCATCACCATCACCAACCTGAACTATCTTGAAGCTTAAACTACCACTAATCTAAAATTCAACCTTACAGATCTGAATGCAGAGCATGGGTTCCTTATCTGTTCACAGATTACATGGGATCTGATCGTTAGCGTAGACCTCTTCACGTCCCATGTCTCTATAATGGATGCTGCTCAACCACAGGTTAAGACCGACTCAGCCTGTATACCTTTAAATTGCACTGAACACTCGACCTATCCCATACCAAACTTAGGCTTATCCTCCATCCTAAGTCAGGTTTCTACCAATCGACCTGCTCGTGATGGCATTCATGGGCAGATGTGGCATGATGAGTTCCCTGGTGTGTTTCATAAAGAGAATAAACCGAGAAGCACAGACTTTGTACAACACAGTGTGGATACTGGCAGTCACTCGCCTCTGCCTCAACCGCTCAGACAGACTCCCGTTCACTATCAGCCCCAAGGTAGGTACCTTGATACAAGATATGTTGACCAAGAAGACTGTGGTGCCCCTAACCCCCTCAGCGGTGTCACTTATCTGTGAATTAATCCTGTCAGTGATAACATTCGTGTGCAAACGATGACAATAAAAGATGAGTCCTCTAGTGTATTTGTATGTCTAATCCCTTACATATCGTATTTTTGACGACATCCATCATGTCCTAAAGTCTGGAGACCTTCCAGTAAACCTGCCTTGGTCTACAGCTGAATCAGTCTTCATCGTTGGGAGGTTAAATTCTTCACTTTAATTAAGCTTTACAGGCCAAGCCTCTGGCTTGAAGCCCTATATTCCACTGGGAGCGTAAAGGAATATAAAAACACATCTAACTGGTGGACAACTAAGAAATGTATGAAACAGAAATAAGCCCCATCTACCTATGTTATGTAAGTACACTCTTTTTTCATCATGTCCTTACTTTCAGTGAAAGTTGTTCTGGTATGAAAAATTACTTTAGGTAAATAATGTAAGACGTCACGCTCATTGCCTTTTTGACAAAACAAAGATAGACGATGTGGCGTTTGATTAACATCAAAGTAGAGACATTTGAAAAAAGTAATTTAAGTGAAACTGCGAAAGATACGTCGCGAATAAAACTGAGTTATTTCTGTCTGAATGCAGGAGAAGATTCGATGGCATCAAGTTAACACTATCGAGATAGTTTGTTGCATACTTCAGTATAGTTGCTCGCGTCATGTGCAGTAAAAATTTATACTCCAAAAAATGTGAAATCACCAATAAGCGTGGTTAAATCTGTGATTCTCTTCAATGCCAGTGGGTAACTACGTATTCAAGCAATTTTACTGGTTGGGAATGCGTCTTGAGAATAGACACGAATATTCCTATCAAAATTAGAATAAAATTCTTTCCGAAAAACGCAAAGTGAATTTAAGACAGCGAAAAATCACTTGGTGAATTCATATCTGCAATTAGGGTCCAGACGAATGAATTCTCAACATTATTTAATCAGTGCATCATATTTCGTAGTCCAGTATTAGACTGTGGCAAGTAAAGCATCAAGAATAAGTCTCAGCAGAAGTAAAGAAACAATAAAGCTTAAGTCAAAGAAGACGGGCAAATATCTGATTATTAAGACACAGATCATGGTAATATCTGCAAAAGGATTAGAAACATTTTGAATAAATATTATTACTGCCAAGTGAAGGGCTCAGGACTGTTCCTGGGAGCTGAATTTGACACTTGGTAGCCTTGAGGAGCAAATCGATGTGAGGCGAGCGGGACAAGGTAGACGACAAGTCGAGCTTGCTCCAGAAGCGCCAGGAGCCATGTGAGATTACAACCATCTTCACTGCTGTACGTCATCCGTGTTTTTCACAAGCAGTAACAATATCCAGCTCCGGACACAACGTGTATGACCATGGAGGTTGAGGGCATCAGTCACAATGACTCCCTCGGCATTTGCTCGTTAGCCCATGGCTTATCATATCTTATCCCCATATTGGAACTGTCGACATCCGATATTTGCGCCAGTAATAATGTCCTTTCAGCCTCTTCGACAGGGCCCAGTGTCAACCTTAGTGAGGGTGACCTACCTTGAGATGACTGGACACCACTCTACAGTCCGCACAGCTTTGCTGACTTGACATCCAGCCCTAATTTACTGTACAATGTAGGCCACTGTTCCTGACCAAACAGAGACCTTTGTTCAAACAGACTACTGTTAAACGCTGGTACATTAAACAGGACGAGGGAGTTCGGTCGACCGACCTCACATTTCAGTTCGGTCTTTGATTGCTTGTCCTCCTTCGTGAGGTCGGTCACTTCAGACTTGATCAATGTCCAACTAGCCTTTGTTATGTTGCTATGCTTACTAGCAAATGCAAGTGATCCTTTGGCGATTCCAGCTTTCCCTGCTGTTCCGGGTGCAACTCTAGAAGACTTCAGTTTATGAAGATTGATGCTTTCGTTCGGTTGGGTTCGAGTGTCTTTCTTGCGGTTTTCTCTTAGTTTTGGTGATGTGGTGTTGTCAGATGGAACACCGCATGAGACTATGTCGAGGCAGAAAAGTGGCGTGCTGTTTCTGTTATCCGGAGACACGCCGCGTGAGTCTGCCAGGGCGACAAAGTGGGCAAACGTACCAGGACCAGGGGCAGGGGTTATTTCGCATAAACTCATGGTGTGGTTTCGACACTCTTTTATCACATCGGCTGTGCGCCCGTAGTTTGCAAAAATTATATTGAAATACTGAGTCACTTTTAGAAATAACTATACTACAGACCTGGCATTCGTCTCCTTTCCTAGAAGACTTTCGAAGTATTGTGATGTCTTGAGCATTTCATCTTCGTTTTTCTGTGTGTCAAAAAATGGCTTCCAACGGGTATAGATATAGTGTCACGGCCACTTGGTTTTACATATGCCGTTTCAGTGCTAGACTGTGGCAATGCAGGCATACTGTCAGATCAGGGATATGTACACGGGTCTTAAGAACCGGTATGAGAGATAGGGTTAATATCCCCGAGTTGTTTCCTCCTTGACTGAAGCCCTATTCACTACGGAATACGGTGTCTTAATGCTCTTTTAAGGCTAGTTTCAGCCGTTATACAACCAGCTGTCATAGGATTCGATCTTGTTCTCCGTGAACACTTGCAGCGGGACTCTACGCGACCATGTCTGCGCTATAACAATGCGAACTATGCTGAAATGTGGAGGCTCTTGTCCGATGCAGAATGACCCTTAGTATGGGTTGAGTTATCTGTGGATGAACACTGAGAAGTGGGAAAAGAGATTATTCACACAGCAATCTCGGACACCATCCCTTCAGTCACAACACAACCAAAAAGAAAGTCATCATGGCTGAAGAGAGGTACGCAACGCATTCCGCAAGCAAAGCGGAAGGCTTGGTTTACGTGGCGCGTATCTAAGAGTCAGACCGACTACGATGCATACCTGGAACTCAGGAACCGGTGCAATGCAAGAGCCGGAAGTGACAGGAGGTCAATTCAGGCTAACCTTGAAAAAAACCCTGGCGAACCTCAAAGGCTTGTATCGATTCATTTCGGAAAGAAAACCAACGAACCACGGGGCATGCGCCATGGCAGGTCCAAACAACCAATACTTCACTAGTCTGGAGATGGCCGAAACATTCAGTTTAGCCTTCGCCAGACAGTTAAACAGCAACGTGGGTATTACGGGTATGGACCAAAATGGTGGCACTACTATTTACTTAGTTTGTATCAGTTTCATCCATTTATTTTAGGGCCAGGTTTATTTTGGTGTTGTGAAAAATGCACTTCACACGTTTGATTGCAAGTATAAAAAGTTCTGAATGATGTATTAATGTCTTTCATATGAAAATTTCTTATGAGATCACCTTCGAAGTGTTTGAGTTTTATCTGAAGTATTTAGTGACTCAAAGACTAAGATGCCTCTTTGTGCTATATCCTGTTGACCTTAAAATAAGTATTGCTGATTTTAGAGCACTTCCTCCTAGCTAATCCAAGACATAGTATTCTTTTCCTGACTAGATATGGAAAAATAGAGTGTTTAGGCGAACGAAAACATAAATTCATTAGGGTCCTATCCAAATAAGGTTAGGGGCAAATTATAGAGTGAGCCAACAACATCCGACTAATATTCTTAAAACTAACCGTTTTCATCATCAGAAGTTTCTATTTGTGTAAGAGTACAATCTAGGCAGACATTCAACATAGCACACAATCACAAAGCATTAACACATGGATGACGTCTCGACGACAATTTATTGCTCATAATCATATTATATTGGGGTTTTTACCTATTTTGTTTACTGATGTGTTACAGAGCCTCCATTACGCAAATACGAGACACCTTCAATCACTATATTTACACAAACTTCTTTAATCTGTTCATCACAACGTATACGGTAAACGAAAAGTAAAATTTTCTCGATATGCAGTATTCCACTCTAGTTGTTTACACGTCACTTACCTTTTGGACAATAATCGGTTCTAAAAAGATAGTGGTATTCGGATGTAGCTTTATATTCAAGGTTAACTCCTACTAATATCCAACATAGGCATGTGTGGACTAACTTTGTGCAACAAAATCTCTTACGGTGTCGGACACATAAATAACTTGATGACCGCTTCGAATGACTGAAGACATTGGAATTCGAAGAAATAGGCCTTGATAATAATGAGACTCAAACGGAACTACTACTAATTCATTGTTACAATGATGACTAATAGTTCTTCCGTTTCATTCACCTGCAAACATTTTAATTTCACCTCCATCTACTTTCCAATTACCAACTGCATTTATTTCCGTTTCTTCCATCTTTCACAATTAGATGGCTTCCTTCTTTTTGATGACTACATGCAACTATTCTCACTTACATATGATTCTGTTTCTAAAACTAGAGATTAATACATTTCTCATCTTCTAAAGAGAGTCACTACTTCAACAAAACTGTTCATTAAGATTAACTCTTTATATACTATTGATATTGTAATTTTTTTTTCGAGTTTTATTCAAGACATACTAATAAGGCTGATTATATTCAGGGTTCGTACAACAGATGAAGACTATGAAATAAAAATGAATGCATTTTAACCTGGAAAACTGTTATTCTTATTGTCTTATTCAATTGTGTATGGGAAAACAAACAAAATGAAAAATGAGGATGATGAAATTAGTACTTTGTCTGAAGTAAGAAATGTACAGAACACTATATATGCATACAGAAAGATAGAACCGAGAAATAAAAACCATGTTGTTCATCAGAACGCATACGCATCACAGATTAACTCTGAAGGTAAGGTAACAAAAAAAAGAGAATGAAACAAGATGAAGAGTAGTGTATAGAGAACCAATGAAAAACACCCTGAAAATCAGTTTACCAGTATTAGAAAATGAAAACTAGATAGATAAAAGATATTAAATACAATCAATGTCATGCACGACAACAAAAAACTTAAGTCAGTAAATATGGATGCAAATTATGATGAATAATATTAGGTAAAAAAAGACAACTAAATATTATAGATCATCGTCAACTTGACCAACTGCTGGATTCCGTTGAACGCTGTCTAAGTCATCTCCTTCTTCTCCTTCACCATCAGATCGTAAATCTGGTTGTGTTTCTGAATTGCCATTTAAATTACTGGATCCATACGCCACTGTACATAAGGTTATATCAGGTTCACAATTAGGTGTTGTATTGACTGAATTCTGTGGTTGATCTATGACTGGATCACTAAGATTGGAGGAATTGAATCCAAGAGTATCTGTTAAATGCACAGATTCCATAACTGGAGTTGTACATGTAACATCTGGTTTTACAGAAACACCAGTCTGACCAGGGTCTTCAGATAGATTTCTAACTGCAGAGTCATCTGAGCTGAGATGCTGAGAATGAGATACTTCGTTACCAAGTAAAACATGTGGAGCTTCTCCTGTCGAATGCTCTCTCTAGGAAACGTAAGAAAACAATAGAAAATCCGATTTGTCACAGTTTTTAGACTGAATATATCAGCGCAAAAAAAAGATATCTGAGGTGAAGATAAATTTGACACCTACAGTACAGTAGAAACTTTCGAATATTTTTATGCCAATAGCATGTGAGTTTAAGGGATTCACTTCGAAATTGTAGACATCACTAACACGAAGAGTTCTACCAAAATAAATCATTCAATCTGTCAATCGGCTAAATGATTTCTTGAAGACGCGGAACATCAGTAGAGCAATACTATTCTACTTTGAAACAAAGTACTACCCGAAAAATGTAGTATACTATTATCATTAAATTAATAAAAAGTAAGAACTTAAGGTCTTATTTTGCACACATTTTATGAGGAGAAAGTGTTACGTATGATGTCACTAACCTACTATGGAACAGTAACTGAACGGCTATTTCCTTTCTTGATATCACTAATATATTGTTCTTATTATTCCTATTAGTTACTGTAAATAATAGTTATAACTATATATAATAAAAGGGAATACGACTCAGGCTTGACCATTCAAACTGCTAGGTAGGGAAGATTGGGCATGAGGCTAGTAACCCCATCCGGTAAAAATAAACACCACTGCTACCGAAACTTCAAGCCTCTAGAATGAAGCCTTATGTTCCACTGGGAACGTAAAGGAATCAAAAGATTCAAACGGATATAAACTGTTACAGGGATTTTTGAATCTGCCAGAAATCACATCTTTATTATTCAGAGGATAGTAACTAACGATGAAATCCACCAGGCAAGTTTCGTTATATATTTTTCGGTAGGAAAAACCTGTATTTCACAGACAATTATACTGAAACAAAGAATCCAAGTGCAAGTTTGCATGCTGTATAGACAACTCTGCAGAAATGCCATTAGATGATGAAGCTTTCTTACATCTGAATTGAACAGATGAAATTCGAGGGTATAAAACGATGAGTGGTAGCCTCAAGTAATGCATATAAGTATACCTTCCTGAATACGATTATACTGACTGACTAGTTTGCGCAGAAGTGCGGCAGTTCGAGTGGTTATACTACATGTAGCAAACAAAGACAAAAGAGATTCAGAAGAACGACAATAAGAAGAATACTAACGTCGAGATACATGAAAATTTTATTGGATATGGTTGATCACAAAGAGTGAATGAATCTGCAACACTGAGAAAGATTTTGAGCCAAAACACCAGTAGTCTCCAACCATCGGAACTTAACATTCTAAGGACCCAAACCAGCCACGCAGTCTACACCTCCTTAAGTAGCTGGTTCAAAGGAACTGTCAAAGATTTCATGGACTGATTCCAAGTTTTGGTTTGACCACCACTGGCTCTTTTCTAATCTGATTCTATGTCAGTTAGCATTGCCCGTAGAGGAAGGCGATGGCTAGGAATGCGTAACATATGTCCCATTCATCTCAATCTATGGAGCTTCACAACCTCACCCACTGCTTTTCCCTACCTACCTAACACTCGACGCCTAACCTCAACACTACTCACCCTATTATACCATCTGAAACAAGATAGAACTCGGACACCTATGATCAAAGGTAGCTAACCTTTTCATGTCTTCCATTTTCAATGGCTATGCCTCATAGTCACAAAGACGAGGGACAGACAGAACTGCTAAGAAGTACACACATTCTTTAATTTATAGCCGGATACCACTTCTACGCCAGAAATGATATAAGTTGGCATGTGCCATGGAAGTCTTTTGTACTCTCGCAGAGATTTCGTCAGCAATCAGAGCTGAAGCAACTTTCCAAATAAGTGGATTGAATGAATAGGTGAAGTCCAGTCCTGAAGCATCATCTTACACTTGACAGGAGCGAATCGCATGTCAAACATTCAAAGATTTCAGCTCAAGGTGCTCAGAAGACTTTGCATTGTGTCAGCGTCTTCACCCAGGAGGACCATTTAATCTGCATATTTATCAGCTACCCCAGGTTTTTAAACAACAATTTTCTTACCGAATCATTCATTTCAACTGTCGATGATGATACATTCTGATCACTTGATGGATTGCACACTTTATCATTATGATGAATAGGTTGTGTTTGACAAATATCAGGATTATATCTAAAAGGCCATATAGGATCAGTTTTACACGAATGCGGCATAATAGGCCTATAACGACGATATATTGTATCCAACGTTTGCTTAATCTGGCAAGTTGACAAATCATTCAAACGTTGAGGCGTATTTTGTGGTGTTGGGGACAGAGAATTGAAAGCTGCTGCTGTTGTTGTTGTACATGCATTTTCCGTAACAGTAGAAGGACATGGTTTAACTTTTGCAATTGGAATAGGAACAGAAGAAGTAGATGGATGATTAGAAACTAATGTTACATCACATGTTTGTTCACATGGCATATCAGTAGGATCATTTGACGATGAAGTACACAAACTAGATAGTAACTCCTTTGGTTTAGTTGTTAAACTGTTCATAATATTACGTAGTCTGTGAATAGGAATATCAGAAAACTTTTCCCATTCACTGTGTTCTTGATTAAAATCACCAAATACATTAGTGCTACCATGTTCATCAGGTATATCACCCTCTACACCAACACTTCGACTATTATGAACGATTTCTGAGGCGACATTTACAAAGCCATTGTCACCTTGTGCTCCAGTCATTGTTATATGAAGTGGATCTTCATTAGAGGTGATGGCTTGTGAAGAATTAATAGCATCTGAGGTTTCTCCATTAGAAAATGTAGGTGTATCAGATATGGGTTGAAATATGCTATCGGAACCTAGATGATTGATTGCATCTACAGATCTAAACAATTCATGTTTGCATGATGAGGATGAACCACATTGTCGGGAACAATTACGTCCACTGGATACTAGAGTAAGACTACTGCAACTGCTCCTCTCAGATGCAGGAAGTTGAGAACCTTGTATAGTTGGCTGATCGAAATGAGGATCATTTATGTGAGAACATAATTCATTGACGTCCATATTTCCAGAGTCTGTTGGCTGATCCGTTTGTTGTGCTGAATCAAACTCCGAATTACCAGTAGACTCGTTCGTCTGAGTATTATAATTTTCACCAGCATTATCCATATTAAGATGAAGGGTATCAAAATTATTTAAAAATGGATTGTCTGTTTGCTCAGACATATGTGATAAAGGTGTAGCATTAGAGCGCAAAATACTATGTGAATGACGTGATAGAGATGAAATATGTGACCTGTTATTTCTTAGATGATGCATTCCTCTAGGAACATAAGGAAAACGAATACTTCTGGGGTTCCAAATATTCATAGTGCCTGGACATAAGGTAGATGCAGCTAAAGAAAGTAAATGTCTTGGTGGTCTAGAGATTCGCATATCTCTTCCATCGACAGCAACAGTGCTTGACAGATTATTTGGACGTGAAGTATGATTTCCAAGTTGACGATATGGTCTGCGATTGGTGGAAGGTAGGTGAGAATGTCCAGGAGACTGGGAGTTCGCAACGGATGTGTTTACACTTGTTGAAGGGTTAATTAGTTGTGAAACATTGTAGTTCGACTCGCTAACCACTGCTGATAATGCATTACGACTGGATGCAGAAAATGGACTACCTTGAGACGACACTAGATTGGTATGACCTGTTGACATATGTGGATTCATGTGAATTGTATTAACTCGACCAGCATTAGAATCATTCGACTGGACTGTATTGGTTGACTGACTTTGTGTGGGTTGAGGATTTGTACAAACTGATGAAACAGTTGATGATAATGATGTTTGAACATTATTACAAGTAAGAAAATTTCTTGATGTAGATGTAACTGTGGTAGGTGTACTTTGCCTAGAACAAAACACCGGAAAACGGACAACACACATACCAGTATCACATCGTTCATGATTCATCCTACTTTCCTCATGAAGCCACCAAGTATCTTCAATAGGGTCATAGGACTCTACGGTATCCAATAAACGATTTCCATTGTATCTAAAAATACAATGTAGGTAATGTAGTAAATACAAAGAATTATTTCTTTTTCTAAGATACAATAAACATTTCTCTGGGTCCTCACTTAAACTTGTAAAATTATCAGATGAAATTAAAATGATAGTAGAAAGTACATAAACTTTAGGGAAATAATGTTTTTCAACTACTTTAAATTTCGAAATCCTACAAAATGTCAGTAGTACAAAATGGTGAGAGAAAAACACTATTTACTTAAATCAATCGAACTACCTGGCTGTCCAAACCTCGACAGTTTAATTGGAAACTCAGTTGTTGAATATAGAGTTCTAGAAATAGTTGTTTTAGTGAGACTGACCGTCAACAGTCATCATGCATTAATTATTATTAATAAAGACTTATAGGTTCATTGTTACTTACCAAACTATGAGTATACCGTGGTTCTTTGCCGTTCTTCCTTATCAATTAATGCACATCCAACCAAGTGGAAAACGCAAAGAAATGTTAACTGCAGTCTAGCCTAACAGTTGATCATTTTTATTATTTTAAATCAAATGCTACCAGAGCAACAATATGTCTACAGGAACTAGAGATTTCCACGACACTCATGAGGTGGATTTTGCACGCTCATTAGAAAAGATATGAGTAGGAAAAAGCTGCCTTCCATAATTTTGTTTACTGTGATGAACTTTACCATGTGGCAAACGTGGGGAGTGAGATTATGAGTAAACGTTGGACAGATGAAAAGTTCCTATGAGATCAGGATTTCACGGATGATTTATGTCTCATTTCTCACAGACTAGACGCTTGACAACCAAAAGAATGGCAGAAGAGGCAACGAAAACACCCAGTCAAAAATAACAAACAATGATCGGCATCAAAGGGAGAAAGATCTAAAGCAAGTCGTTTTTTCTCTCTTATCTGACCTGGACATCATCTTTCCAAAGACAGGCAGAACCGATGGGAATGTCAAAGACAGTTAGGATCGGGAAAGTAAGAAAGGTGTTTACTTCTCTGAAAAAACAGCGTGGAGACCCACAGAACTTAGAACAAGGTACAAGATACGGATTCTCAACACTAACGTCAAGTCAGTCAATAACTCTATATGGTTCAGAGGCTGGGTGCATGCGTCAGGAAAACCGTTTTCAACAAGCTACCGCAGATTTCCATCAACAGTTGTCTTGGCTTCGTACTGAAGACCCGATGGCCAGAAAAGACAAGCAACAAGAACCTTTAGCAACAAAGCAACCGAGAAACATATTGCCCAACAAATATGGAGATGAAAATAGAGGTAGATTGGATGCACACTGATGAGACTGCTGAATGACATTATACTAATATATAATATACTGATATATTTATCTCTGCTGATAGTGTAAAGTCAACATAGACGATCAGCAGTACAGGTATCAGTAATGCAAACTTTAACGGAGTCATTGATGCTACAATTTACTGAAGGGAATCAAGGTATTGATTACTACGTCGCTCTGGTGCAAAAGAATAAGAGAAATTTGTCAAATTCAACTGAAACACTAACGATACTTTGAAAACTATGTCAAACAGATCACTTACCCAGCTGCAACATATATCTTGCCAGCCAATGGACAAGCACCAACATAACAACGCGGCACATTCATACTTGTAATCACTGTCCACTGGTCTAATCGTGTATTGTAAGCCTCCACAGAATCCAAATGCAATGGACCACGACCTTCAGCACCACCGTAACCACCGCATACATATATAGTTTCTCCCAATAAAGCACAACCAGCTCCTGAACGACGCATATACATTGGTTTGCAGGTCGACCAAGTGCCACAATGAAGATCAAAACTAATTATGAAGTTAAAACAAGATCAAAGAAAGTTGTGAGTAGATTAATAAAAATCCTGAGGTACAACTTACATCAAGTACGGTGGTAGATCAAATTTAGGCAAGTGGGAATTCTTAACTCTTGATTTATTTCTCTTACAAATATTTCATATATCATATCCTGATAATACATACGCTGACTTGTCTGACCCTGATGGAACTGTTAACAGAAAGGGGATACAAACAAAATCCGTTTGTACTTATGAAAACTATTTACATAAAAAACCACTTTTTTCAATGATTCATTAAATAGTCAAATCTACTGAATGAAATAAATCACATAAGTTTCATAAGTGAGAATTCAGTCCCTTTACTATGTTGATTTGTAGATATTTGATCGACGGCCACCTGACTTCAGTTAGAGAACCATCAAGTCCACTAAGTTGGGCATGAGGAAAGATACTCACCAATGGCACTGGTGGTAGCGCTATATCACGGAATGGCCGCTGAATTTCGCTCCGGTGGCTGATCGGTAAACGTGGTCGCCTTGTAACCTGAAGCCCCTGAGTGCGTACTGTTAAAGAGTCACAAACAGGAACGAAACAGCCGTCCAGTACTCTCTGGTTTTCAGTGGTTTCCTAAATGAAGTCAACTCGAGAATATTCGGTAACTGACTTTATGGCCTGTTTGGACGAGGTGGTTTAATATCGAACTGTTGATGCTTTTTACTACACCTTTATCTAGCCCAAGTGCTAGGTGTTCCCGAGTACGAAAATCTAAGTTCCTAGAACAACGCGGTCAATATAACTGGCTCTACATGAGAAGATGAACTGATAGATACAAATATATTGGAATTTCAAGACGTCATGTAGCTCATTGTTTTATGCCATCAAACTTCAACTAATGAGTTCGAGAATAAAATGATCTTAACCTACTTCACCCTGACTAGAGGTTACATTTTTAGGCGGAATACAATAGCCACAATACATGAGGAATCATTATTGCACAGAGTTATTCTTACATGTAAGAGTAATAAATATGAATTGGTTAAATAAACCTTCATTTAAATTTAGATATGTGCTCAAAATGGGTCAGCCCAAAAATTAGCGAAATTAAAGTACTATGAAATGTGTTATTGACACTTACGCCTCCATACTGTTGAGCAAATGAAATCCATCATAACCTCCTAAACAATAGAGGATATCGTCAACAGCAACTAGACCTGCTCCTTCACGTGCTGTAGTCATCTCTTCGAGAATTCTCCATTCATCAATTTTCGGATGATAAACTTCAAGTGATCGAAGACGTGATTGACCATCGAAACCACCACAGACATAAATTAAACCTGTAACAAAGAAGAATTTCAAAAGTCTGAAATTCATCTTATCGATTTACTATGTAGAGTATGTTGCATCGAATAGTTGAAGCGTAGCATATCATTACTAGTGACTAAGTCGTCCAAAACCCATAGCCAGTGAGCTGTAGAAGTCAATGTTATGGACTATACAATAATGTATGAATATAAACATTTCATCAAATGAATATAGATTAGTAAATTATTGCCGGAATTAATCAATCTTTTACCAACAAAGAAAATCGACCTCAAATATCTAATATACCCTTGCCTTCGCTCGTTTTTTTAGAAAATTCGGAAATCCTTTCAAATACATTATATGATTTGGTATGAAAGTTCACAGCTTTAACATACGCTATGATTCCCAGTCCACTAAACAAAGTTCGTACATGATTACCGAGTTAACACCATATTTTGTAACTTAAAATGAAACCGGTTGTAGCAGAGTGAGGATAAGCATACGTTACCTGACCTGATAAAAGATTCAAAAGAGTGTTGCACACATTTTCTAATTAGTCGATGCATCATGGGCCGTTTTAATTAGTGCAAAACTAATAGATGACAAATAACAGGAATTATTATTGTTCCCTTGAGTTCCGAGTGGAACATAGGGCTTCAACAACACATCTCCACTTTGTTCTATTTTCTGCCATCCTCTTCAGATGGCTCCACGATTACCCATAATCTCTCATCTCCTCCATGTCACCCTCGCACCGACGACCAACTCGTCGTTTCCTTCACCCACTCGAGCAATGGCCTGGTGTGCGATGTCATTCGACGGTCTCCTCAATGTATGCCCAATCCATCTCCATTTTCTCCTACATATTTGTTGAACGATCGGCTCTTCGTTGGTTTTGGTCATTTGATTTTCAGTATGGAGCGAAGGCAGCTGTTGATAAAAGTCTGCAGTTATCTGTTGGAAATCCATTCCGTGACGCGTAGTGAAAGTTTCTGATCTGTATAGAAGGACCGACTTGACATTAGTGTTGAAAATCCCAATCTTGTTCTTTATGCTGAGTTATTGCAGGAGATTCCCATCTGGTTTCAGGTTGATGAAGGCGTATCTTGCCTTTTCGATTCTAGCTGGCACCGACATCTTCATCCGTTCTGCCTGTCGTTGAAATGACGCTTCCTAGATAAGTGAAGGAAGTGACCTCTTTCAAATTTATCTCGTTGATAGTGATTGGTACTGGCTTTTGTTGTTGGTTGGTCATCTTCACCACTTCCGTCTTCTCTATGTTCACCTGGAATCTTGTCTTCCTTGATTCTTCAGTCAGTTTGTTGGTTTTCACTAATAGGAGTAGACAGAATAATTGCATATGGCTTCAATTAGAAGTTTGCACAAAAGTGAACTAGCTTAATCTCTCACACTTCAAAACAGAACACAAAAGATTATAAAAAAAACACATTATGATGCTAAAATGAAAGAATATGTGCGAGTGAAAGAATTGAATGACGATTAGTGAAACTTTTGAGGATCTAAAAGACATTAAGCAGTCAATACATTGTCAACGATTCTGAACCCTCCACAACAATTGATATTATATTATTATTATTTATTTAAACGCAGAAAAACTTCGTACAATGCGGCACCAAGAAAGATGCGCCACACGATATTGTGTGAGGGCTGAGATACTGCCCGGGCGCCCAGACCAAAGCAGGTGGTTTTCCTAAGGGACCACCCCCCGAGCCTTTGACTTGGAGTCTAATCCGCAAGGCAGCGGAGCAGCGTCAGGAGCTGCGTTCCTATGGTTGCCGGTGACCCATATGGGTTCATACGCCATTTGATCCGATTGAATTCTGGAGCCCATGTACCCCATGGTAACCGCTTTTAGTCTAACCGCTATCCAAACAACCTTCCTGACATGGTAGGACCTGCAGGGACATGAGTCCCAGCCAGTTTAGCTTGTTGGGTCACTGCCCGACTACCACGGCAAGTAGCAGTTATCGTGGGAAGTTACCATTCAATGGACTCCGACCACACAACGCACGTGACTCAGACCAACAGTTAATCACTGTGGGTATTCGAGTTATGTTTCGATATGACCACTATTGAATCTTTAAACCTAGTTATTCTTCGCTTAATATTACGCGTTGAGTAAGACTATGGTACGCCATGAATAATAACGCGGGTTCTAGCTACCTTTTCATTGATAAAGCTTCACAACTTATTTAGTCAGCTTGTTTTTATTGCCTAACACTTCAGGTCTAATCTCAACACTTTTAGTCCAAAATCTCTGGCCTATTTACACATACGTTCATAAGCCATGTCTCACGCTCTGAAGCACACATTATTTAACCAACAACCAAATAGAATACCGATACGATTGGTAACGCTAGTTGACAAATCCCAAGACTTTATTAGCGAGCAGCTATCGAAATTTGTCAAAACAGGACATCAGTCTAAATCTTCATATCACTCATTCTTTTGAAGCTACCAGGTGACGATGGTGGCAAACAATGCTCAAAATCAGCGAAGGTTAAAATTAATTTACCTAGGACCTCCCAATACTGTTGCAGTCAAATTATAAAGGTGAATACGACTTACTTCAACAATTATACCTACCTTTATTTGTACAAGCAGCCAACAGACCCCTTTTGTAATGCATTGGAGTAAGTAATCGCCAGCCTTCCTCTTGCTGAGCAATATCAAGAAAGTATACTGTATTTAGTCGTTCGCTTCGATTACAACCACCAATAACGTAAACACAAGTGCCTAAAGAACAGGCTGCTACATAACGATAACTGATTGGTAGATCCTAAAATGAAACAATTAAAAAAATATATTATTGCTCAAATATTACACAGTATATTTCGAATGACAAAATTTCCAAGGGTTACCTTTCACAAAAATTTACCGTGTTACTGAACGGCTGGTGTATATTCTGCCTACAGTTTGAAAATAATCCGGCCAAAATACAGTAACTACTGCATTTTTACACTCAGAATGAGTTTCATAGATATTTGCCCCATGAACGGCAGAGGGTAGGGAGATCTTGGTCTCCCTCTGGAAATACTCTCATGTGGTCACGCGTCCTATTCACTGCTTTCACGGGGTGGGAGTGTCCTCACAAAAGTGAAAGGACTAATGCGAACGTCTGGCACTTACAATAGGACTGGTGGACATGCTGGTCTGCCTAAGGGAGCTTGAAAATCCTGATTACGAGGCTGTTTTGTACATATGCTCCAGAATCCGTGAAGAGAAAATGGTGTATGAAGCTGTTTCGGACACCGGAAGCCATGGGAACGAAGCTCCACTACCTTGCGGATCATGCTCTAACTAAGTCAAAGGCTCCGGGGCGGCCATTTAAGACAACCACATGCTTCGTCCTGGGTGTTCGGGTAGTATCCCAGTCTTTACATAAACTAGGATTTTGTGTGGCGCATTTCTTGGTGCCCGTAATGTACTAAGTTTGTATTTTGATCACAATATTTCATAGATATTTTTCTTTAGTTAGACTAGAAAGCCTCTATCAATGATAAAAATCGCTATTTGTTTCAATTACCTTGGTGGCCTATTTGGAAGTTGGGCTACCTATTCCTCCACCTACATATTGCATCTAATTTATCGTATTTCATTTTAATTTATCAAAATATGCCGTCAAAACGTATCATATATTCTCAATACTCATAATCGGCCAGATTACACTATACGAATCAATCAGTTTGAATGATATTATACAAAATCACTAAGGTACATTAATTATTTTAACACTTCTACAACATCAGACTGAACACAGTGCCCGGTGGAGTTAAGGTATCATGGTCAAAGTCAACACTTGACCTTCACGAACCAATCAATTTCAGGGAACGCTACGAAAGGTCATTCCGGAAATCAAATCATGGTATAACAGAAAATCCGTTTGTGAGGGTAGGTACAGTATTCTACTTATTCCCTAGGTACTTTCTCTGTTAAGGTTTAGGGTTAGGGGTAGGTCAAAGAAGTGAGTCAGGAATACCAATGGATCCCAAGGTATAATGATCTACAGTTACCTGGATGAGTACATCTATCACTCATTGTATGATTTCTCTATGGATTATCCTTGGAGTAACGAGGAGACATTCTTACAACACATAAGATACAATTATCCAGTGTAATATCATGTTTGTGATGTTTTTTAATACATTTTTAACGACTATGCAACTTTTTGGCATCTAAACTCTGATTGGTTGTTGAAGGTCATTATGATTTTTTGGCTATGGCGCTTCAACTTCGCCAGTACTCGTTCAAGTTAGGAAGCAAATGATTGTCATGATCGAAAACATATTCGACCAGTTAGCCACCTTCAAATTTATATGTTTTGCTTATTTTCGAGATGGGTTTTGTATGTCAATTCAAGAACAAGTACATAGTGCTTAAACAAAGATATTAAGCTGAATGAGAGAGCTACAACCAATTCAAAAGATTCAAAACATAGCGAGGCAGACATTTACTACAAAATACATTCAAAGGAAATTTTTTGAAACGTGAGTTTCTTTTTTTTCTATAATTCCACTATATCTTATACTTTGATTATATTGGTAATAATATTTTCCTTATCTCTGGTGTCGGTGTTGCTTTATTCCTATTATACGTGTTAGGTGTAGATTAAATGAACGAAAACTCAGTGATCGACCTCTCCCTCCACTAATTTATATTACTCTTTAGAACTGTAGCTATGTCTTACCCTATTGTGTGATTGTGTTTTGATGCATGCATTGCAACTGTTGAGTGTGTTTCCAAATTACTCTTATTTATGGGGTCAATTATTTGACACTTTAAGTACCGACAACTTGACTGACTTCGACCTACTGGTCTGAGTTATGTAGTTGACCTCACATGCATTGCAAATTTTGTCTGATTGGGTCAATAGTGTCGTTTTGGCTTCAGAGCTTGCCTGTGAGTTTCTCGATCTAAATGCCATTCTTAATTCCTGCTGGTATTAATATCACCAACTGCTGCCGTAGGGTAAGTAGCTTACGATATAATGACCGTTTAAAGATGAAGTCATTTTGCTGGCTGAACAGAAGTGAGAAGGCGGTAAAGTGTATGATGTTCTCCTCAGACGACCAGCAGTGCATCAATACTACCTTACCGCCTTGGTGAAAAGGGATTAATAATGTTGCGCATAGAAATGTATACATCCCGTCTTTAACAATGGCCTTCTTTTTCTGGGAGTAAGGGGTTCTAAGTGTGAATAAGCGATAAAACTCTTAAACAAGCAGCGTACGGTCGACCTCAAGCAAACATTCTTTGGGCTTTGTAGCAACACACAGAACTTATTCGCTTTCTCACTCAAGTGCTTTAAGAAGGCATTAACTTCCGATCTGTTGTGGTTCGCAGTAATCTACGTCTTGTCGATTACCGCCATTTTAGGGGAGGACTTAAACCAAATAGAAGTTTATGAAATAGATCATGTGGTAATAACAGAGGCACGAACTGATAATGGCGCTACTCTCTCTCAAATGACTAATTCCCAAATAGCGTTAGCCTTCGATATGAAGGCCTGCGTTCCATGTCTTAACTCGATGGTGGACGGAAAGAAATCATGTAGCTAAAATGACTCACTTTGAAGAGTTACATGTACTTGTATAGGGAAAACGCGCTGATTGGAGCAAGTATATGTTCACCATCTGTGATTAGAAGGAAAACTAAGGGTTATCAAAATCGATAATGCACAAAGTGGTTAATTATTGATCTGAGAGGTGAAGGGAGACGTTAGACATTTTGGCTGAAATCGATTAGAATTCCGGATTTTAATGACTGCAGACAATTCAACTTTGATTTATTTACTTTTCCTCAGTGTGCTGAAGTGAAGTGTGGCGATTTGAACTGCTACACAGTTACGTCAAGATTTATTATACATAATTATATCTATAAAAGTATTTAAAATAACTGTAGTGTATTTAGAAAATCAGAGCAAATTTTTTTAGAACCTTTCGCTATGCAAACCACATCTGCTTTAAGAGGATTTTAAAAAATCAATTTTTACTGGAAGGAGAAAACAACGGACAAAGAATATTTTAGAATGACTCAACTAAACTCGGAGTCTAAACTGATTTAGGACACCTACGGTCTGGATATTTGTATATCCCTGTTTGATGATTAATGATGAAGCCAATCAATGTATACAGGTTTACGTGAAAAGCAGGAAATTACACCCTTTGCGTACGCGTGGAAATCGATATCCAAGGTAATAAGAAATCAATTTGACGACTGATATGAAGATAGAAAACACTGACAAATGACTTCAGTTGATTGATTTATAGAATACAGTACTGATTAATTTATCAAACTCATCAGTTATAAGCATTATAACTTACGGGTAGTTCACCCCATTCCAAAGTTCGTGGATTAAAAGTTTCCACAGAGTCAGAAGGATCATCATCAGATCCGAATCCACCAATGACAACTAAGTATTCATTACCACTGTCACGTTGACGGAATCGCTGATCTCTCATTTCATGACGTAAATCTGGTCTTAGATGAAATCGTTTAGCATCATCTACTAAATCTCGACATTCCAGAGATTGACGAATAAGAGGCTGAAATTTAAAAATTCAAAATAACTTTAGACCAAAAATTACCCTTGGTGAAACTAATGTTCACCACTATTATAATTATCCGGTTACTTTGATTAGATAGAATTATGAAAATGTATCACACTGAATACACTAGTAATGAATTACTGCGGTAATATACTGATTTATGATTTACTTTTATGTTAGTTCGCTGTCGTCCATTCTAATCCTACCAAGTCAGAGTTTTTTTCCCGCTGCAGACCAAACAAAACACCATCAGCTTAATTTGACAATAACTAATCAATCAAAACCATCAGCTTAAAATTTCATTACGGAGAATAATACGGAACAGAAAACGAATCATCTACTGGATGCCCTAAGTGAAAATTTGAATGTTTCAAATTTGCATAGTTCCTACCAAATGTAAGATAATGAAACAGATATTCCTGGTTTAATGACAGCGGGTTAAATAGTCACGTGTATTGATGTCAATTTTTTGAGAAGCTGCATTAGTCGTAATGCACTGATACCTGACGACATCCCACGATGTTTACAAGAGACTAGTTTGACATTTACAGGATTTTCATCATGAGCTGACATTGGTTAGAGAACCATTGGAAAACCTGGGAGTACTGGACAGCTGTTTCTTCCCAGTTTGGGACTCTCCAGCAGTACGCACCCACCTGGATTCGAACCCAGGACCTTCTGGTTACAAGGCGAGCTCGTAGACCATTGAGCCACTGGGATCCAATCCAATGGCCCATGAATTCTAACTTCTGCCAATTCACGACATAGCGCCACCCCTAGCCAATGTCTTCGGCGACCTGCTGCACTCTACTGGTCACGACTTCTCACTAGAACCCCAGGTACTGCTGAAGAGTCCCAAACTAGGACGAAACAGCTGTCCAGTACTCCCAGGTTTTCCAATGGTTCTCTAACTAATGTCAGCTCATGATGAAAATCCTGTAACCAATCAAATCCCTACAAACCAACACTTGAATAGTTTGACATTTGTCAGCCACCCAAAGTACTGACATTATATCTGGTTAATTATTACATTGTGTGCACTTCACTGCAGCTCATCTTCTCCTACTTCACATGGCCAATGAATGTACGCATAAAAGGATTAGGGTTGAGCTTAGACCTGAAGTGTTAAGGAACCAAAAACAAGTGGATCAATGGAGTTGTGAAGTCTCATCAATCCAAAGTTGTTTTTTTATCAACTTCATACACATCTTCTCATTAGTAAACTTAAATAGCGAAAATGACAAATATCAGGATAAGATGAGCTCATCTTATATGATTTCGCAGAAGCTTCTCAACTGGCTGTATCCTGAGCAATACAAAGATATAAATTACATAAAGGATTTGAACACACTTTTTGTTCAGGTTTACTAACAGAGAGTTGATTAGGACATATGTTACTACTCATAGTGGACCATGGTTGAAAGAGTCAGTAGTGGTCATATCGAAACGTAACACGAATCCTGACAGTGATTCACTGTTGGTCTCAGTCACGTAGATTGCATGGTTGGAGTCATTTGGATAGTAAGTATAGATGTTTGGGGTATTTTTGTAAGAAGGCTTAGAATCGTTGACAATGTATTGACTTCTTAGTGTCTTGTAGACCCTCAGAAGTTCTTATTAGTTTTCACACAATTATTCCTACACTCACGCTCTCTTATTTATTCTTTTTAGTGTCATGATGCGCGTGTTGTATTCATCTGTGTTCTCTCTTGAAGTGTATGAGCTTCAGCCCATTCGTATCTGTGAAAAGGTCTGCGTTGAATTGCTAGTGATAATCAGTAAATACAGAGGACGAAAGAGTTCTAATCTAGTAGCTAGAACAAATCACAAGTAGGGCTAAGCAGCTTGACAAATAAAATAATTTACGTGTGATTTCTAAGATGAAAACACGAAAGAATATTAGATATAAAAGCCAATTGAGATAGTTGTTCATTGTACAAATACTGACTTACATCTTTATCCACAACATCTGTCAGAAAACGGACTGAAATCGCTGCGAGACGAATATTTCGAAGTAAGGGGAAAAGATTAGCCACTCTTTCATTGGGCTGATAGTATACCCATCGCATTACAGCATTATAAACAGACTCCTCACTATCAATCTAAAAGAAGAATTCAAAAAGTTTGTGATGATACTCAAAGATAAACACAAAAAGAAAACGACAATGTGAACACTATCAAAGATGATCAGTTCAACCGGTCAACGACTACCCACCATATAAAATCAGCTCTAAAATGATGTAGACATTGGTCCTCCAAATGTTGCTGAGGTTTCAATAACTATCTGTAATCCTAAACGGCGCAAAGTATCAGGACCTGACGATGTCCTGAGATGTGTTTAAGGATAGCTGTGATGAAACGTTGACTACATTAACGAAGGTATTAGCTGTTGTATGAGAACCCGAGATAGATTCGTCAGACTGGCATAGATTGTTGACCATTTCAGCTTTTAGGAAATAAAACAAATGTCCCAATAACAATCATTGGAAAATTAATTTTACTAAAATAGCATTTAAGGTCCTACGTTTTGTAGCTCTACGAAAACTGAGGCTCTGAAAAACAAACCCAAGAAAAACAGGCAGGTCTGGAAGAGAGTGTGGCATTGATTATACCTTCACCCTTTGACAAGTGTTGGAACATAAGCATACTCACAAGCGTCCAACGTTATATTTCTTGATCTGAAGTTGATTAAGACGTGTTGTGGTAATGCATAGTAGTGAGGGGAGTGCTGAGAAAATATATTATATTAAGTAAAACACTCCACTAAAACTCATGCAGTCACCTAAAAGCCTATAGAATTGTTGCGTGAAGTGACGATACTCACTGTTAACATTCTTCACTAAATTCATCATAAGTGTATTAGTGGTTGTGACTATAGTCGACTTTGAACTGCAGGAATGCTCTAAAAAGGATTCTGGTTCATGAAGATAGATCCAAACTGTTGAACATATTGAACACTGCATCGAACCTAATGGACTGAAAGCTGAGACATTTGCTGCACATTTCCAAAAGGCTCACCGAGAATGTACCAACTTGCGTCACCTTTGACGCAGGTGTGATATCCGGCTTTCCATCAAAAACACATTCTCATTCTCAGATGCCGTATTCACTCGTAAGTATATTTAAGATTCTGCAAATCCCCGATAATCTCAGTCTCACTGTTCTTTTCCCTTTACACTTTCGTCCAGTGAAGCTTCATTACATTCCTTTTCCCTATCTTTATATGTACACCTCCGACGTGTGGACTTGAACTGATGCACTTTTGTGAAAAGTCCCGTTAATAAGTCAAGCAGTAAATCCTATTAAAACCAGTTTAATTTAATAGATCACAAAATCAAACATACAACAAACAAAAATTGGAGTGAATTCACGTTCTGACACTCAGAGTTGAATAAAAGTTGACTTAATCTGATTAACGAAAAACAAAAAACGTCATAAGAGGAAAATTAAACTCATGCAACTGCTTACTTGTAAATCTTCTCTAGAAACAAGATCAAGCAATTCCTCATGTGTGAGACATACAAACTCCTCAGAATCAACAACAGACTCAAAATTACACGCTGCATAGTTTCGAGTAAATTTTTCTAATTCAATACAATTGTGAAGTTCAGCAAATCTTCTGATTCCAAGAACATTTGTAGAATCGACTTCGGTCAGCAGGAAATTAGAACAGGCAACTTTTATACCTTCCATTTGAACAAGGCTTGCAGCTGGAAGTAGATCTTGAACATTGTCCATGCTTACACGAACTTGACCAGTGTACACGTAATCCAGTAAGGCATCCATTATTTCAGGAGAAATAGACTTAAGCTCAATTTCTAGCTGCGCTGACTCTGCCATCTAAAAGGAGAATATCACATATGTACCTTAATATTAAGAAATGGAGGTGGAAACAATATAGTGTGCAGTTAGTGGGTTTAACACTGTGAACCGATGAGCACGTCAGCTTTACAGATGATTCAATCAAACTAACTAGAACTTTTCAGTAAGTCTTGGGAAATAATTTGCCGAGTACTTTCGTTCCAAACGCTTTGATATTCACTAAACATGCATGGAGGTAAAGGACTATATATCTTCCCTAAAGACTGGCAAAAAGTTATGATAAATAGTTATGAAGTTTTTATTTCGATTTATCTTGGAGACTTTCACCTAAAAGCCGACACTTTTCTATACATTTCAGATCAATAATCAGATACTCCATGGGGTGGTAACATGCATTAGCTCACTACCCTTAATTATTTTCCAGACTAACCCCACAGTGATTAGCATAATACATCCTAGTAGACACTTGTTTGATAAAGGTTTATGAAGTGACTTACTGACTTGGTTGTTACTCCTAAAGGTCTGCTTTTAGTTCGTAACTATGTAGTAGAATGGACTACACTGTTTTGTAGCACACGACTTACTGATTGAATTTTGAAATAGAACTTTGGACAAAAGTGCAGCGGTTTAAGTTACCACACTCCATGTAGCACACAAAGACAGACAAAAGAGAGGAAAAAGAGATCCAAACGAACCATAATAGGTAGAAATGTGGGGGAAAAAGAATACTAACATGGAAAAACATGACGATTTAGTAGATATGGGAGATCATACAGATTAAATGTATCCGCGCCATTGAAAACGATTTTAAGCAATATCACGACTTTTGAAAGACAATCAGATATCTTTGGGTTTAACTCCAAGGACCAGTGAAGCATTTTGTAAAAAAGCTGATAATTTGTCAGCAGAAACTGACCCAGTAAATTCATGTGGCTTCTCAGGTAAGTGAAGTGGTCAACAAATTTAACTGATTTACCCTATTCTATTATCAAAGCACCGGTGCAGATGCATTCCAAAATGATGATTTGCATTTATGAGGCAAGGTAAGCATTTATAACATCCTTAAACTATTTATAATCAATTGTATATTGCTAGTGTCTATAACTCTCACGGTATTAAGCTACTGTACCATGGTAAAGTCACGCTTAAGCGAATGAAAAATCACCCATTACCCTACAACATAAACACCAGGTGATAGATGACCTTGTTGATGAGGCAGGTTATCAACTATTAAAATAACTTGTCTACATACATATCTTAGCAAAATGTTCACTTGCTACTGGTACAACAAAAGAGAAAAAACTCCCTTCTATTGTTTGAAAATATGACATAATAATTGAAGAAAAGACTATTGATGTTATTTCTGTTTATGTTACTAAATTTAGTCACCATAAATGTTTAAATCTTTCTAATACAAGTTAAGGAAGGAAAAGTTACACTGCAGGTTTTAGGATGATTCGGATGTTAGCAAATGTTCAGACAAAAATATAAATCTGACTGGTGTTGATAAAAATGGGTGAAAATAATGGTCACAAACTGAAGCATTTGACCTTAGACTGATGTATTCCGGGTTCAAAACCCGTTTCATATACTTCGCTCTATGAAACCAGACGGTATGACATGCACACAAATCACACGTGGTGATGTGGCTCATTGGCTTAAACACTCGACTTTCAGCTAATGCGTTGCAAGTTTGAGTCCCGCCCCACTGCTTCAGCCTGAGCAACTGAGTAGTATCATCAGCCCTCACACAATAAGTGTGGCTTTTAGCCTAGTACATATAAGATTTGTCCCGGCCAATTAAGTTTAGGTTACTTTCTCAACTCAAATCACGTGTATTTTAGACTAGTACTTAAACAATTTGCACCAGATAACTGAAATAAAATGCCTTATTAACAGCTTGGATAAGAGAACAGTTAAATAAACAACTGGGCAATCTTAACATATTTAGCCTACTTTTGATGCTTCCAATGTTTGAATAGTGAATAGACGAAGATAATTTTCTAACTAATGGTGTCTTCGCCTTCAAGTAAACACTATTTTCTTTTAACACCTCCATACCAGTTTAAATTGAGGAAAAGCAGTCACTTGTGGTTTGAAAACCCCTGGTACCCCAGTCTTAAAAATGAAGGAATGGTTTCAAGCACCATATCATCAGGGTTATAAAACAAAATATGATTTGCTTACTTTCTTATTGAAATAGATTTCGACAATAATGTAACGCTAACGTAGTGACTGTGAAAAATACACAAAACTATTTTTTGTTTGTTTGAAATGGTGAATGCACAAACAGGTTTGGGAATTTTCCAACTCAAAAATAACAAGTACGTAAAATATCAAACTATTTATGGTGAAAAAAATGTATTCTAGATTATGCTTACTCCACTTGAGAACATGGCATCAAAGTAATCACTAGAAGCTGCTAAAACAACGCGATGAGCCAGAAACTCGCGCCCTTCAGCTTTAATAACCACATCACAAAGCTGACCTTTCTTACGAAATGAATTCATCTTTTTGAACGCAATAACTGAATTGTGATCCAAGCCTAAAAATGAAATGACGAGATTTAACAAACACTTCAAGGTATTATAATGAAAGCAACAAATTTTAAATACTTGATACACTTCCGAATTAAAATTTATTACGATAAATAATGACAAATGTAAGTATCCACTCTTATTTTATCAATAAAACTTACGATATTTTGTTTGTGGACTTCCTAAAACATTGAATTGACAGCCATAAGCTCACACAGTCAGTGTAAAAGATGTGATCGTATTCATTTTACCATTACTCATTTTAAGAAATTTTGATAATAAAATCAATATGAATACTAGGTCTGAGGGTATCTGAGCCACTGCAATTAGTTCTGAGCCAAACCACCCAAAGGCCCTGGTAATCACGAGACGGGTAATGTGCAGCTGTTTACACACCTCAAGCATATAATGAAAGACCATTGATTTACATATACTTATATCTGACTTTACTCCTTAATGTCCTTTAAGCCCATGAGGATTCTTTCCCAGCATCCAATACTCCTGAGCAAGATTCTACTATCTACTTTTTAAGTGTCTTTTAATGACCAGAAACACCATCTGTTTAGATGTTGGCAGGTGTCATCAAGATCAGTAACGCTGCGTCATTCAGCCAACCGTCTTGTCACTACTACCTTCAATGTAAAAGAAATATCTCTAAAAATCAACTCAGGTCGAACTGATCATCCATGTGTTATTTGTTCGTGCTTAAGGTGCCTGGATTCATGGAGCGACGCTCAGCCGCCATCTAAGAATGTGCCTTTTAAGCAGTGGTAGTCCTCGAATGATACGCCCCAAAAGTAAATCATAACAGCATGTTCATACGAATACATACAATACTCCGAAAAAGTAATTTAAACTGCGGACTCAACTTTTTACATCCCACCTTATATCTAGTAGCTGTAATTAAAGTCCTTTATACTAATACAGCTCCCAAGGAAAGGAAGTTTGATACATGATGAAAATCAAGCAGATTTTTTGTGATGATTCCGAATTATCAGTATTACTCTTTCAAATACAACCTGTGGAAATCAAATTTAAACGTTTGTCAGCTCCCTAATCTCGTCTCTTCACTAACCTTATATCGTATTAATTTCTCAGTCTGCAATTTCTCCACTGACAGGTGTATACTACCTCCCACTTCTTGCTCTGTAACACCTACTCACTATTTGAGTTTTTCAATTGGCATACTTTGAATTCGTACTCTAATCTTCATTTCAGGGCTTTTAATGTTTTTAAATTGGTCAAATTGTATTCGTGATATATGTGGAAGATTTCAGCGTGCTTATTCATTTGACTTCCCTAACCAGGGTAGAAAGTATCCAGAGATTTTACAATCAGTTCTGTCAATCTTCCAGGCATTGGAGTAGCACTGCATTCTAGGACAGACAGCTGACCACTTGGTTATATCCTAAACATTTACATGTGGTTAATGCATAAATGTGAGAGTAAGCTGGCTTGGAAGAGAATATTTTCGGATATGAAGTACTGTGGCTACTGCACGAAAATTTCAGGTTGTATTTTGTTAATGTCTGCTGGCTTGATACTTTCAGAGTCCCAGCCCAGGAGAGCGATTATGGTGATTGTTGTGAGTTGTGCTAACTCCTCCATGTATTCCTAGCGTGGATATAAAAACGTATGTTGTTTAACATGGCTACCACCGAACTCAACTCACTGTTGGTTAAGATATACCTTATTTTCATCGTTCAATAATAAGGATAACACTAGAAATTACTTTATTCCGGACCCACTTTCGTTACAGTATACATTTTGTAACATGTAGTATTGTGATAGTTCCACTAGTTGTATAACATTTTTAAAAGAAATGATTATGAGAACTAAGCGGTAATATAGTAAGTAATAGTAATAGTTTGCAAAATAAATTGTAAACAATAGCAAAGCTGATGAGTAGACATTTTTAATATTTTCTTTACACAAAATCCGTGCTAAATGAGGTTATTATGTATTCATATTAACATGCTATTATAATTAACTTTTGGAGTTTATCATTCGAGAAATAGAGCTGCCTAAAGGGCATGCTCTTAGATGGCGACTGAGCGTTACCCCATGCATCCATGCACCTTAAGCACCATAAGCATTGGCAGGCTTCAGAATCTCTCGCTTATAGAGCATCAAAAACAGATGTAAATGATAACTGGACAAACATACGTTGGACCTTATTAATTTAAAAAGGGAGATATCAAAAACATAGGCCGTATACCAACTCGGATATTTGTGGCTGAGTGTAGAAACGCCGTTGAGTGGACAACCCATCAAACGAACATATGCCTACTGTACTCCACCAAGAGTATTCCACTCCAAAAGTCTATGTTTACACCACTTACATATAGCGGAAACATAAAAACATCGTATTCGAAACAGTTTTGTAAGATCTTTTGCCTCCCGTCAAAAATAATGTTCTTTCTAGTTAATGTTACTCCACTTTGTTATCGATACTATTGTTATTTCATATTTTTTGGCAGTAAATAACCCATTACATGCTACTTAAAAACCTATTCCTTTCTTTAATAAGCCTTTCTGTAATGTATCCACTTCGATTATCCTTTTACATCATACGTCTATGTAAACATCGATACAAAAAGGAGCACTTCTTTAAGGAATGAATTTGAATTTGTGGCATAGTGATGAAAATCACATCTTTAAGGAACTTCGAGGGGAAGAATAAAGTTCAACCGTAAGTTCTGAAGAAAAATATCGCTGGGGTGCTGGGAGGAATGTATAGCCAGCTTCTTACAAATGCAACTAGAAGGAGGAGCTTCAAAGACGCTCGTTTTTGTGTCTGTTCAGTTACGAGCACTAATGTGCAGAAAATAATACGTGCAAACATTTCACACAACAGCAACTGTAATTGTAAGAGACGATCACTTGCCGGCTTATCAGTATTAGACTCCATAAATACTCGAAACATGCCCTTCCCTATTTGAACAGTGAAATACCCTGCTAATGTGGCCACATTGGGCTACTTTGCTTCAAGTAGCAGACTGGACAGCTTCTGACAAAATCCATCCCTAACTTTGCCCCAGTAGCGATAAATGAGTGCGCAAGTGTAGACGACGAAGCACTGTGAACTAGAATCTGACCCCCATACAGTACGTGATAATTCAACCCATATCTTTACGATTTGCAGTGAGTCAAACGCTGCGATCTACTGATATATAGCGTTAAATGAAGATCTACAAGCGAAGACTTTGGATCGTGTATTCATGCCGAGTGAGAATTTAAAGGTATGAAAACAAACAAAAGGTATTTAACCAATTAATCTATAACAAGATAGAATTTCAATTAGTGTGCAAATAAACCACAACAGTAAGTACTCAATAAGAAAAAACAGACTTGGACAAAAGTCATATATACCTACATGGATTATTTATAGAAATGTTTAGTTAAAGTGGAGGATGCACGATTCCCCTAGAGAAAAATTTAAATATGAGTATAACGCTTACGAATCATTGCTTATTGGAGTCATGTTAATCAGTTAATATCCTGCTGTTGATTTTAACGTGATCCCCACATTGTAAGTCCGCAAGAATTAGCCACGAAATTCTAAGACACCACCAAACCAAACTTTGCTAAACCACCATGTTCAGATGAACAATCACACCTAGATATTGTATTACATATGTAGCATAGCCATAAACACAAACCCCAGTCTTTTTCTTTGGCTAAGGGTTCAGATATTGAAGGTCTCGAAACCCTCAACCTAGCTGTAAGGGGATATATGTATCGTTCTGCTCATTCAAGTCGTTACTACGTACCACACAATTATTAGTTATTTATTAAGGTAGATGAGGATGAATGCAAGTACATCTTAGTGTGCTGATGAGGAAGGCATGGAGAGTACTTCCCTGCTATCCCACCTAAGGTATGGACGATCACCTCCTATCATCACTTAATGCAGAACATTTTATTTTTTTTGTGAAACTATATGATATATGTTGCGACAGCTAAGTGGTTAAGACATTGTCTAGAAATCCAGTGGGGTTTCCTCGCAGATTTGAGACCTGCTCGCGACGTGGTGGTTGCTCATATAAAAGACTAATACGGCTGAGGTTGCGCAGACTTCCATCTTCCTTTCGAAATGTCCTCATGTGGCTATACGTTCATAGCTTCTACCAAGTAAGTCCGAGCGGCACACGTGCCCCTCACAAAAGTGAAAGGGCGAATGCAATCCAACTGTTGGACATGCTGATCTACCAAGGAGAATTGGAAAACCCTGCTTCCAGAGCTATGGTGTGCACGCTGTCCAGGATCTGAAAGGATTAAGTGGCATATGTACGTGTTTCGGTTACCGGAGACCATGAGATCGCAGTTCCTGACGCTGCTCTACTATCATGTGGGTAAAGTTTCGAATCAAAAGCTAAGGAGATGGCCTCTTAGGACGACCACATGATTTGGTATGGGAGTTCGGAAAGTATCCTGGCCCTCGTAGAAACTATGATATTCTGTGTGGCGTATCTTTTGGTGCCCATAATGTACTAAGTTTATGTTCTAAGGATGATTCCACTAATGACCATTAACGACGAAGTGGAGCTGTGTGTATCAGTCCGATTTAAACGATCAAGTATTAATGCCAACAAGATCCAGCTCTCTATCAGTGTGACGTTTTATTGATGCTCTAAGATAACTCTCGAAACCACGTCGCCTTCCCAAAGATGTACAGTTGTGCTGGTCCCTGTTGCCCAATAGATGACACGAATAAATACATAGTGCCAGTGAAGAATATCGAAGTTCTGTGACGATCAACTTAACATGTGTTAACTTGCAGTATGCAGTACCAAATTAATCTTCCTAGGGTTTGTAAAATGAACAGCACAAAACTTTTATCGCTACAAAAAGGCTTACCATCATCTGCTGAGGCTCCTTCTTCAGGCCGCCCATCAGTTTTCTGTAGAGTTTCCATTAGGAATCTCCAGGGAGTTCAAAGTGAGAAGATAGAGGTCGATAGTATTAGTGCTTTCAGTGACAACTCCGGAACAAGTGAAAGTTTACAATCATTTAAATCATTTGTGCCCGAAAAACAAAGGTGTTAAATGATGCAAATCTAGTATTCTATTCGGAACACAAACATTCTGTTGTAAAGTAGAGTAGTAGCGTAGAATTTCAAAATGACCGCGATCAAAAATGATGCATCTAAACTTCAGAAACAGCAAGTTCTAGTAATTTCAAAAGATTGTTGGACTAGAGTATTATCCACTTAATATTGTGCGCTGAACTTTACTGTTTAAGTGAACTTTTTATGCTGAAGGTTAGCGTCCAGTCATCGTCGCTATTCAGTAGGCTGTCATGTTATGTCCGTCGTTCATGCACGATTCACAGCCAGCTAAGCGACCATCACCGCTCTACCATTATTAACCCCAAAAATATCTGATATTTCGCGCGGTCAGTTTGCTCCTGTTTTTTATCTGTCTTTGGTCTCAATAGAACAAATACCTTGGGAGTAACAGGGTAAATACTTAAGTTTGTATGCAGATTATCTCGCATAACCGTCGAGATCCTTCATCTCACAAGCCTGTGAGCCCATTTACAAACTTCACCCCAAAACATTTGGACCCGTATTCGAAATTCATCCACTGAACTCGTGAGCAAGCAAACAAACTTCACTCTGTTTCGGTGAGTTCGTTTCATTTCGTATTTTTCAGTCGTTATCTTCATCAAATGTTTAAGATTACAATTTTACAATATGTGTCAAGACACCGAAGTTTATACCTATTTGACAGACTAGCATTGTCATTTAGCTCGTGTCCTTTAGGCCAGACGATGCAGAGACATGTTTTCTGTACGCTGAAGTTGACTTCCATGAGCATGGACTAGCTAATCCAATTTCAGAATGCTTTTAAGACGTCCTCTGCCAAATGAGTTCAGCGAGTGAGTCACTGCACACCTGTTCACTCCAAGAGTGAATCATCCATTCGAGACGTTTTAAAACGCCATCCTAGAAAGAAGCGATTTCTCCGATCCCCATCTTCCGGAACGCTGAGTTAGGGATCATACGGCTGTACAAATACTTTCACGGTTGCATACAGACGCCGGCCAGTGGAATTTAATGAGGGACTCTTTGGGGAGTTGTTTCTGTCTAAGTTGTCACATCCAGTTCTATATGTGCTTTTGACACTCCGAGGAGTCGACATTGGTGACATGGCTACGCTGGCTGACAGAATTGTGGGAATTTCACCGCTGCCAGTTACTGTATGTTGTCGAGTTGGTTAACCGTCCTCGAGTACTGACTCGGAAACAACAGAGTTACGTAACTCTGCAGGTGAATTCTCATGCCAGACAGACCCGTCACGATTCGCAGACGCAATTACCTTAACATAGCAGCTCATATACAATCAAGAAATCTAAACCAGGCACAGTCAAGAGCCTACACTGGTGTCAGTATCACAACACCTATGGCTAGAAAGGCGAAGGCAGCCGATAACCCAGCAGTTTTAGCAAAAGTTATAGCAAGAACGTTACTCTGGCCACGGTAAGGCGAGTGAACGCATGTAGCGCTTTTGAATACAGAGGTATGGTTTCAGATCCCGAATAGTTTATGATTCAGCCATGTATAGATAGCGCATGCGAAGTGCCTTTGTACGATATTGAGGGACTCTGTGTAGCACTGCAATCCATTCATGCGGGGGTGCCCGATGTCCAGAGTTGGCAAAGTGTTCAAGGATGGATCTGCTAGGTTACACCTTACATTACCTAATACATTTCTGAGGACAAATTTTACCAGTATGTGATTAGTCTTACGATTTGTTTTTTAAATATAATTACGATTGTACAACTTATGAAAATGAATCGTCAAAAAGAAAATCTTCTTCACTGTTTCCGTCTTTTTCCTATGATTAAATATGGGAATATTTCGTTCACTTCAAAGTATGATAGCCATGGAAGCATTATAGTCCTTGTTTGCCAGACACCTGAGGAATGGCAGGTCATATACTTGCGTGTCTCAAAAGACGTCTTTCTGTAGACTCTGGTCCATTGAACAGATATAAAGAATTCATGGCGAGACATTTATTGAAGGGAAAAATTGGAGAATCTGTTGGAATGTACGCTTATCAGAAGGGAATACAGTGGTATGTGCCTCATCATTCGGATATCAATGTTAAAAAACATAAATGGCCTCGAGCTGGCTTCGGCTGCGCGGATAGGTTAAGTGGTACATCTTTGAGCGAACCGATAATATCAGCAGATTAGTTGAGGTAATTTTACGTTTCCCAGCTGGTAATGTAGCAAGTGTATGGAGGATTTCATCATGAGCTGACATCAGTTAGAGAACCACTGGAAAACCTGGGAGTACTGGACAGCTGTTTCGTCCTAGTTTGGGACTCTTCAGCAGTACGCACCCACCGGGATTCGAACCCAGGACCTTCTGGTTACAAGGCGAGCTCGTAGACCATTGAGCCACTGGGACCGATCAATGGTTTAATTCTATAAATACGGACCATTTCGCAATGTCTTCTTAGATGAGTTACTGTCACATCTTCAACCTGCTGTACCCTACTGGTCACGGCTTCCCACTAGAACCCCAGGTTAACTGCCTGAATAGGGCCAGTCACTAGTGAGCATCAGATTAATTTTCAAGTATTGAAAATGTAGCAAGTGTCGCTGAAGCGGGAGAAATGCCTTCAAAGACGAGGATTCCGAAAAAACTAAGCGGAACATTTCACCTCCCATGTTGGAAAGATGGCGTTCTTAGAGAACGTTGGAAGGTCATTGCCTTCGATATTTTCCTGAAGCAAGTCTGTCAGAGGTCGGTCTAGAGCAACACAGTCTGGAACGAACCATCGATAATAGCTCACTAGACCATCAGAAGTGCGTAGGTGTTCCAAAGTCTTTGGCTCCGGAATGTTCAGAATTTCCTCGACTTTACTGGCCAGTAGACAAATACTCTTGCAGTCAATGGTATGGCCAAACAATTCCAGTGATTCCACTCCTACTTGATATTTTTGAATACTAGCAGTAATACTATGTTGGTGTTACCTATAGAAGATCAAGTCCAAGTGTAAAAGGTGAGTTTTCTCTTAGGGGACCAAAGAAGTTCGCCAGCGTTTCACCGCCAACGATCAATTTGTTTATCCGTGAGGACTGGGACACATGGTGGTGAATATGATTTTCAAGGGACAAGGGCTAGACAGTTTCATTGTGGTATGATTATCTCATTGAGCAGTCTCTCCAAATAATAGTTTTTCAAATAAATTAAACGTTTTCATGTTTGACATGCCGTTTATACAGGCATGATAATAATATATTTATTCCTATCTATGCAGGACGCATCAGTTTTACAGGCATGGATAAGTATTGCTTAAATTACATACAGTTTATGGTGAAATTTCATGGTTGTTGTCTTTTTGACATTAGTGACAATCTGCTTACAAGTCATTCAGCGGAGCGCATGAAGAAATATAGAAATACTGTCTTCGCATTAACACAAAAACACAAGTATGTGTTGGCTGGATTACAAATACTCGGGAAAAAATAAGGCTTGAAGTCAATTCCTCCATATGACTTTGGTGTGTGCGGCATCGTATCTTGTTCTTGACTTATATTCAAATTAGGCATTAATCCAAAATAAGTGATTTATTTGTATAATTTTGTCGGCATTTTCATCGTAAGTAACACCAGAAGTGAATTGTATTCAGTGCAGACTAATATTGGTTATTATCAGGCAGATTTATTTTACTGCACCAAGGTCAGTCGCCATTTGTTGCTGCATGGTTGTTCTGTACGAGTAGGATGATTAGCATATAGAAAGCTATTTGCTAACCGTTTTAGATCATGGATACTGCTTGTCTGGGATGTTATGCAGCGTCCTGATATAGTGACAGTGGAATTTTCTAGTATTATTATTATTATTGTTCCCTTGGGTTCCTAGTGGAACATAGGGCTTCAACTGCACGCCTCCACTTGCTTCTGTCTTCTGCTGTACTTTTCACTTGCATCCATGTTAGTCCACACTGTTTCAACTCTTCTTCACACGATCTCCTCTATGTCACCCTTGGACGTCCCACTCGCCGCTTCACTTTCGGGTTCCACTCGAGCACTGGCCTGACGCGCGATGTCACCCAGAGGCCTGCTCAGCGAGTGTCCAATCTATCTCCACTTTCGCCTGCATATTTGTTAAGCGATTGGTTCCTGCTTTGTTTGTTCCCATAGGTTCTTGTTTGTGATTCTTTCCGGCCATCTGATCTTCAGTATACAGCGAAGACAGTTGTTGATAAAGGTCTCCAAACTGTTGGAAATATTCTTTGTGACACATTAGCCAAGTTTCTGATCCGTATAGAAGAACTGACTGACTTGACGTTTGTGTTGAAAATCCGAATTTTGTTGTTGATGGTGAGTGACGAAGATTTCCAGATTGGTTTCAGGTTGATGAATGTGTTTCTCGCCTTTCCGATTCTCGATTTGACATCCTCGTCCGTTCCTCCTGTAGTTGAGACAATGCTCCCTAGATAAGTGAATGAAGTAACCTCTTTCAAATCCCTCCCGTTGATGGTGATTGGCGCTGGATGTTGCTGCTGTTGTTGTTGTTGGTTGGTTGTTTTCATAACCCCCGTCTTGTCTATGTTCACCTGGAGTCCTGTCTTTGCTGCTTCTTCGACCAGTTTGTCGGTTTTCGCTTGTAAGTCTTCGATTTTGTGTGACATCAAACATAAATCATCCACGCGCGAAATCCAGGTCTTCTAGGTTCTTCACGTCGGTCCAGGATATCCCTGTCTTCTCGTTTCCCACTGTCTGACGCATAATCCAGTCCACCACAATTAGGAATATCATTGGTGATAATAAGCGAAAGACGCTATAGTCAGTTTCAAGGTCATGATGGGTTCCTGCGTCTACTGGTTATATGTTTTCGTGAATTCGTTTTCCATTGAATTTTAAAGGTTTTTTTGAACGTTTTGGTTGTTTTTGAGTATGTAGGTGAGTTTTTTGTCACTGGATGCTACTAGTAAGGTTGTTTTTAGGCAGAAGTTCCCACTTATTATGTTGGTAGTTAAGGATTATGGTAAAACCTGCAATCATTGAGCTTATTCACGTGCACTATGATAGTATAGTAACACTATTTAATAAATGAACTCCCTAACTGGTTTGCCATTGTTTGATAATGTGATTGAACCAGAACTGTG